TAGATCAATTAATTGAATGGAATGCACACAGACAATTGCTTGCAGTGCATCTGCAACGAAAAATAAAGAATTCTTCAGAGGAGTAATATACATGCAGTTTCAGTTCATGTACACTTGAGCAACTAGTTCTGTTCATAGTTGCATCAGCTAACCAATTAAGTAAGCATACACACTGATCGATTCTCTTTCTGTATATATATACTGCGCATTCGCCTCACTGATCTGTATATATATACTGTCTCGTTGTTCGATCTGATGATGGAAATGGGCAAATGGCCAAGAACAGCAGAATTAAGATCGAGCTTTCTTCAGTCGGAGTCATGGTTGTGCCAGCAGAGGAGCATGGAGACGCACCTCCCGAGGATGTACAGCCTCGTCTTGTGCTCCTTCAGCACCGCGTTGCACCGCCCGGCGAGCCCCACTCCGGCGCAGCCGCCGCCGACTACCTTCCCTCGCCGCCGCCGCCGTGGCGTTGGCCCCATCGCCGACGAGGAGGACAGGTGGCGGTACGCCGAGCAGACTGAAGAGGCGGACGATGAGAGCTCCATGGAGAAGAGATGAAAACGAACGAAGAATGTGTTTGGTGTGTGTGGGGGTTTGCGAAACGATGAGGTCGCGATCCGGTGGTTTAAATAGGCGAGGTGATGTGGCACAGGTGGAGGTAGCGAGATGACGATTCTACCCCCCTGGGGGTATGAGACGACACTGCGGGCTGTTTAGATCCCTCGTAAAATTTTTCACCCCGTCACATCAAATGTTTGGATATATGCATGAGTATTAAATATAAACGTAAAAAATAAATAATTACACAGATTGTGTGTAAATTGCTAGACGAATCTTTTAAGCCTAATTGCTTTATTATTTGACAATGTAGTGCTACAGTAAACATTTGCTAATGACGGATTAATTAGGCTTAATAAATTCGTCTCATAGTTTACAGGCGGAGTTTATAATTTGTTTTGTTATTAGTCTACGTTTAATACTTCAAATGTGAGTCCGTACATCCGATGTGACACGCTAGAACTTTACACCTATAGATCTAAACACCACTGAGAAGATGTGATAGTAGCAAAGGGGTAGGATGGTAAAAATGGAGTGGGGAATAAGAGACCGGTCGTCGCCGTCGCCGTCGACGGCGTCGAGACAGATCGGTCAAAGGCATGCATATGATATATACATGCACCGTCGTCGTCAGGCGAGCGGCGGTGCAAGCAACGCATGCACGCGCGTACGTACGACGTCCGGTCCCCATCCCGCGCGCCCGCCACCGGCGTGGCGATCGAGCTAGCTGGCGATCGATCGCGGCGGGGCGGCGGGCGGCGGCCCACACGGGTCGGGGACGGGAGAGAAGGGGGGGGAAGCAAGCTAAGCGTGCGTCGTCGTCTTCCTCGTCACCGGCGACACACCACGTTGCCGCGCCCCAGCTAGCTAGATGGCCCCGCGCGCCTTATCGCCTCACTGTGCACGCGCGCGCGCGCCCACTGCCACACTACATACTCGTACACGCTATACCGCTAGCGGTAGGCTAGCGTATAGCTTACTCCCTCCGTCCAATAAAAAATCAACCTAGGATCGGATGTAACACATCCTAAGGGTATGTTTGAAGGAGCTTCTAGCAACTACAGCTTCTCCTAGAATTTCCAGTTGCCAGAAGCTCCCCTAAACAGTCTAGCTTCTTACCTAGATTATGAGAATCTGTAGTTGTAGAATCTGTAGTTGCCAGAAGCCCAGCTTCTCCAAATTCTCATCAGCTAGCTTCTCAGCAGCTGCTTAGAATTTTAAACTCCCCAAACAGGCCCTAATACTACGAATCTAGACGTCCAGATTCGTAGTACTAGAATGTGTCGTATACGGTACTAGGTTCGTTTTTTATGGGACGGAAGGAGTATGTAGGTAGGCTGTAGCTGCTGGCTGCCTGCTTTCGCGTTGTTCGTCCAAGACGTTTATTTTTTTACTGTACTTTCAGTTTTTTTTTTCTTCTTCGAATCTGCGAACCTTTATATGATAGATTTTTTTTAACCTTTCTAGGGATATAGTTTTAATTCTCCCCAAGTTGAATCCGCGCTAAAATACGTAAAATATTCCTTCTCCAGCTTTGAAGACCGGCAATGATTAATTTAATCGGTTAGAATTAACGATTCGGGGGTTAATTAAGGTCAGGGTGAGAGAAAGGAAAGAGCTAAGTTTATTGGGTTTAGAGGGATAGTTGTGGAAGATGGTGAGCAGGAAAGGGCGAGGCGAAGCCTCGTGGTCAGTTGAGGGCGGATCCAAAAAAGAAAAAACATTATAGGGTGACTCATCTCCCTCTTCCTCCCCTCTCCACTTTGGTCTCCCTCTTTTCCCCTTCTCTCTCCTTTTATAAATGGTGATCCAACGGGATAGAAACTTGAGTATCCCAACACCCACGTTAGATCCGTCGCTGTTTAGTTACTAGCGGTGAACCAGGGTTGAAATGGGGAGTGGGGTCCCGACCAGTTTGGAGGTAGGGATGGTGGTGCCCATGAGCCATGAGGCCGATTGAGGGATGGTAAGCTGGGGCATGAAGAAGCTTAGCAACGGTAATGCGGGCTTGAGTGAAGCGAGCAACGGAGAGGAAAGGAGAAGGGAAGGGCTAGTTAAAACGTAGTTGCACGAATTATCAAAGCGATATTACTGCTCTTTTTTTAATAGATGACGCTGTTGACTTTTTGTCACACGTTTGACTATTAATTTTATTCAAAAAATTTACATAATTATAATTTATTTTGTTGTGAATTATTTTATCATTTAAAATACTTTAAGCATGATTTATATCTTATATATTTGCATAAATTTTTTAAACAAGACGACTAAACGAGTGATCAAACATATGTTTAAAGGTCAATAATGTCATCTATTAAAGAACAAATGGAGTATTTAGAATTCACATGATTTATTTCTCTTTTACTTCCTCCGTTTCACAATGTATTAATGTCAATATGAATATGAAAAATGCTAGAATGACTTACGTTGCGAAACGGAGGGAGTATTTCCCAAGATCTCTGAATCGATTTCGAACACGCAATGCATGAGCTGTGATCATTCTCCTCCTGATGGAACATCTGTCGTCGTGTGCTCACTGCTGCGCACGCACGTACGCAATGCCCTGCCCACACGTACGTACGTACGTCTGCCAGCCAGATATACTACGCATGAGTGCATGACCAGCTTTTGCATTTCGCACGAGAGATTTGGACGTATCGCTGCTGCCTGGTGGTGGCCGGTTTGGACCGGCGGCAGTGAGAGGCGAGGCCCAGTAGCACGTTGCATTGGGCCCATCACGCACTCATGTGCACAGAGACAGTGTCACACTCACACACACATGCCTCTCTTCCATCTTTGACCAGATTCAGACTACACCCTCTTTGTCACCTACCTAACCTCGGCTCACTGCTCAATGACCAAGCGGGAGATTAGGCTCTCTCTGCTCTATCCTATTTTCTTAGCCAAGTGCAGTTGCGTTTAAGTAGCACGCCCCCCCCCCCTTTCTACTCTACCTTGACTATTGAATTGAATTCAAACTTTAATTGCCCTGCTTCATTCTTGCCATATTGAGATTCTATGGAAGAAATGAAACGTTACCCGCCTACTTATACTTCATAAGTGCCACCAATCTCGTTCAGGCACTAAACTAGTTTCGGGGAGGATGGATGGTTGTCCCTTCTTCTCAATAGCTGCGGCACAACCTGGGTGTGGAGACAGTTTGCATGGGTTCGTGCACAGATTTACGTTCAATAATCCCTGGGGCTTTCACTTCGACACGTCTTCGTTCGTGATCGCTTAGAGCCCCTTTTCCATCAATAGGTACTCCCAAGGCGTCGACCACACGGCCTAACATGGCCTTTCCCGCAGGAACATCCACAATAGATCCAGTGCGCTTGACAAGATCTCCTTCTTTAATAGCGGTATCACTACCAAAGACAACAATACCTACATTCTCATTCTCAAGATTCAAGGCTATTCCTTTCACACCGCTGGCAAATTCCACCATGGGTCTATTCTGAGAAGCAGCTGGTTGGTAGCCTGTTTTTGAGAATCTAGGAAGGGTTGGGTTTCTAGTTTCTAACTTCTAATTTATTTTCTGGATTATACAACTACAACTTATCAGAATCTGAATCTAAAACTGGAGAAGCTCCCCCAAACAGGCCGCCCATGCATGTAAGCTGATGTAACGAAAATGTATATCATCTCTTGCTATTCTCATTTGGTTATTCTTCTTTAGTTCCATCTGAAGGAAAACAATAGGAAAAAGACAGTACATCTTCATTCATTCAGACATACGACAACATGATATGTGTTCCATCCCATTTGATTCTACATTGTTATATTTTTGAACAAATGGAATATTTTTTTCTTTTTCTCGGTGATTGAAATTTGGCTCGAAATTTCTGAAATTTAGGAAATCCCGGGGGACACAGAACGATTTCGTATGGAAATTTCTTTTTTTTTTAAAAAATATTCAATCTAAATTTGTTCAAATTTAATAAAAATCCCATTCGAAATTCCTGAGATGCCCCCGGGCATAAATACGCAAAACGAAATTGCAAATGTATGCACCCATAGTTGCCAGTTGGCATAGAACCCGGATGTTTTCATCGGGGATATATATGATACAGCTACTCTCTTCAGTCTTCAGGTTTTTGTCATCTGATCTCTCTGCACCAAGATGTGTACTACACTTCTTGCTGATCTTAGATTTGCCTTAGAAGATCAACAAGAAGGTGAGAGGGACATGATGGAGTGGTTGCCAATCGTCATTAGCTGTACTACCACTGCCTGCCTGCCCTGCAAAGTCTCTCTCCATCAGAGCAAACAAGAGAGGACCAATAATTGGAGATCTCTCTCTCTGGAGGATGAACAGACAAACAACCATGCATTAATCCATAGTTGCTTTAATAATTCAGTCAATGAATAAAGTTTTCTCCCAGCTACCCCAGATACAAGTTGTTGGATCTGCATGCAAGCATGCTACTAAAAACATAAACGTGGGAGTTTACTCTTCTGTTCTTCCATTCTCATCCAATGATTATGTGGGCTCAAATGATTATGTCATGGTAATATCATCTATAAGTGTTGCATTACAGTAGAATAAACTCAACTGCTAATCTGTACTTGCTCAAGCACTTGATGAGTGCTGGGAGATCTCTGCCTACTAACTGAATTTACAAAATGCAGGCAAAATTGATCTGATATACAATGGAGATGGTTGTTTTCTATACAAGGGAGCAGATACAAAGGGGAGGGGATTTTTTCCTAAACAAGGAGATAATTACATTGAACCTCCCCGGTTGAAGGTTAACCTCAACAACCTAATATGCTCAACTCAGGTGATCATCATGATAACTATTCCAACACCATCTATAATCTGTTACAGCCTTACAGGCAACTTCAGTTCAGAACAAACTGCAGGCAGCAACTCATAGCCATAGCCTCAGCCTCATAGGAGTTTCTGGGTTAACACCAGAGAGCAGTGTAGGCAAATGCTCTATTCAAGTCTGTCTGAAAAAAAAAGGGACTTGAGAAGTTGCATGCCAATTTGTAGATTGTCAAGAATGTGTTCCATCCCCATGCTCATGGGAAAGGGCATGAGAGCAGCTACTGTTGTGACTCGACGTCGTTCCTGACTCTGCTGTTGTTGCTGTCATGGCTGCTCCTGGAGCTCGAGTCCGGAGCATTCGTCGAGCCGCCTAAGTCAGCCTTGCAAAGAGGGCACAGTGCGTTTATCTTGAGCCATTTATCGACGCATTCCAAGTGGAAAACATGATTGCAGGGAAGCTCCCGTAGATCTTCGTTGTTTGAGAACTTTGACAAGCAGATGCAGCATACCTGCAGAGCCCAGAGATCCATAGGTGTCAATTGCATATGTGGAAACATGCTACAGACGTGTAAACATGAGCATAGTATATCCCAGGTTTGGTAAAGTGTAAACAGGAATGCAGGAGGACACTCACAGCGTCTTCTGCAGAAATAGTTCGCTCTTTGTCTGTTCCAGCTGCCAATACTCCACCATTATCTTCTCCCGCTTCTCCATCTTGAAACTTTTTCGATTGGAACTTGTATGCCACCAAGGCATCGATTGCTTCTGCAGTAGCGCCTCTGTTAAAATCCAAATCCTCGTGGATGCCCATCATGGAGATAATGCAGGGTAGGCAGCAGCATATCATTGTACATAGGATGAAAGGCAGGGCATAGCCGATGAAGCCGAATGCAAGGAATACTATGCACAGCCTGAAAAATGATCACTAACAAATGAGTAAACATCTAAGTTGAGAAGCAAGGAACACATTGTCTATGGCTGCTTAGCATCACAGACCTGTACAAGTTAGGAGCGTCATGGAGAGAAGTACGGCCCCCGAATATCCACACATTCCCAACAACAAACCACACAGCAAAGAAACAATCCAGAGCCAATTTGAAGCACGCAACCAATGCGTAGACCCTATAAAGCACAGAAGGCATTGTTACCTCATAAATGAATCCAAATGTTAGTTAGAAGAAAGAACTCAGATGGTTTCATATGATGTTGAATCTTCTAGTATCCAGATAAGTGACCTAAAGTGTTAGAAATACTGAAAGCCCAACTGTTTTCAATGGCTACCAGGTAGACAGCAGGTGCAAAGACATCATAGTAAAATAAATTGCTAAAGATCATATGAAATTTGATAACAAAAAACAGATCTTCTCAAATATAGGCGGTTGCTCTGCCATAGCATATCGGTGGTTGATGGTTCCACTTAAACAAACTTATGAGCCTGAGAGTGAGAGGTAGTGCAGTCAAATATACTAAAGATAAATTCCCAAGAAAGATAATGCTACCTTGGACTTGCAATCCTTGCTACTCCACCATTATTACCACTGTCCACAACTTCTGATCCATGAGCAGACGAAACTACTACATAAGAATTAGGCTCATATACGTCCCTTTCAGATGAAACCTGATTTGTTGATTCTTGCTCTGTGTTCTGCCGATTGCGGTGGAGAAATCGCCAATAAAGGTGAGGAAGAGTAGCAACACAACCTATCGTATAACCAATAAGCCACTGAGCCAAAGGAGCATGAGGATGCTCGTTCCTTGATACTGACAGGACAGTAATAGCTGCTATAATCTGGCTTAAACTTACAATAAGCTCAATTGAGATCCAGAAGCCAGAATTCAAAGGATTTGGTTGACGGTGTCCTTGATCTCTTCTTGCAAAAGAAGCGTTTCGGGAGATAGATGCAGGAGTTGCACTAGCAGAACTTTCTGGGACATGAGGAACATCATTTAGAGGCCCTCTAGTTTGGTGCAACTCATCCAAGTTATTATGATTATCCTGATGAGATGTTGATGGGAAAGTTGCATCATTTCTCAGTATGTCGATCGTGTGATCACGATGACTGGCATTTCCAGAGTCCCCCATCAGTAATGGATGACTATCTGCCTGACCTTCGCACTGTGGCCCAACAGGACGGACAGCAATAAACTAGAAGTTTACTCCACACATTAGTTTCAGGACATTCCTAGATATGTAGATGTTTTCAATTGAAGTTGCCTTTTTCACACCCTTGCTTTTAGTGTACCTTAAGGAAAGGAAAGTAAACAAGGTGTCAATTAACTGCCTGCCTAAACAAAGAAAGCATGTGTGCAAGGTAAGACATCATATATTGTTGGACAGGATTAGACTAGAAGGGAAGATCATAGCCAGAATTTAAAAAATACTCCCTCTTAATTCTTATTTACTACTTGTTATGTAGGGCATTGAAATAGTATGACATGTTTGATCATTGCCTTCTCTAATAATATATCTATAATAATTATATAACTAAATGAAATTATTTTCATGATAAATCTAACAATGTCATTTTTACATATAAAATATTAATGTTTTCTTAATATATTAGTGATTTAAAAGATTTCGAGATTTGATTGCATGTATTCTAAAATGATTATAGCCTTTCCCTTAGGTTAGACCAATCATCTATTCTCGGTTTGCATTTTACATTACAAGTTACTTATATTACAGAATCAATTATTTCATCAACATACTCCTGCAATCTTAGAACTTGACTGCAGATCAATCTTTCAGGAGTAATTCAACAAGTCCATTAAAACAATTCCAGTGGTAAGGACTCGATTGCCCCCGATTAGAAAGCAACCTAGTTAAAATTGGATTAGTAGACCAATGCAAATGCAACACAATAGCAGCCATCCATTATTTGCAACTCAAGAACCTTACGGTGATGTCAGCTAATACACAAATGAAGCACTCAGCATGGAGAAGGAATGAACACCATACCTCAATGCCTCAGCAGCAAAGGTCCCTCTAATCACCAAATCTCAGCAATTCATCAATTCTCCTATTTCACCTGAACAAACAAGAAAACAATGTGGACAGACAGCATTGGGGAGAGAAAGAAAATCAAACAGAACCCCATCCCACAAGCATTTCTATGATCCTATCCCATTGGCCAAGAACCCAAATCAGCAAGAACATAGGTTTCAAAAAAAAAAAAATCAGCAAGAACATGGCAGCAGCTCGTGGGGATCGAACAGTTCAACCAAGAACGCAAGCGAAATCGGTGGATTCGGTAGCCTACGCTCCACTGAATTGGAACTCACCGAAGCAAGCAATCAACCAATCAATCAATCAATCCCCAATCCAACGGAGCGAGAGGAATCCGGAGAAAAATCAACCATACCAGGTGGAGATCGCAGCTTCGATTCGAGGTAGCTCTCTTCCCCAATTTCTCTATTCCTTTTTCTCCTTTTATTTTTCTTACGCTTTCTTCTCCCCAATTTATCTCGCGCATTTGGGGGCTCTTTACTTAAGTAGGAATCCCCCCAGGTCAGCGGTAGAGGATGAACAGGTCGTCGTGAGGTCAGCGAGGGAAATTTCAACGACACGTGGAGCTCATCCCGGCCGTTTGATCAGCCCGGGCGACGAGATCGGACGGTCGGGGACGGGCTAAGTTTTCTCAGCGCACGCGTGCAGAATTAGAAGGTTTCTTTTTAGAATTTTTTTTTTGTTACAGGCATTTTGATTTTCATCAAAAGCGTGTGGGATTAGGTTGTTGCAATAGAGGTTAAAATTACAAAAGGTAATATTTGCTTGGCTAATGTTAGGTGAAGCTTTTTGGCTCGTGGGGAAAACACATTTTCCTCGTTTTGTTATGAGACAAATAAATACGTGCTGGTAAAAAAGAATTGTCCAAATTTAGGCACTGAAAATTTCCCGCTTATAAATATAAAAAATTTTTATGTAGTTTTTTTTTCTCAGAGAATTTTGGGGCTTCATGGAAACCGGAATTTTTTGGTGAAATGTTATTTTTTGGGGAGATAGTGAATTGGTTTTGCTGGCCCTATAAAAATTGATCATGGGCCTGAACATTAAGTACGAAGTATAAATCAGCCCATGCCAATTCTTTTTGAACTGTTTTTTTCTAATAAAACATGTGCAAAATTATGTTACATTTGTATAGAGTATGCTTGCAGAGAGATTCTACGTTCTGCTATTAATAAATGATGGGTTTTTCGAATTTCGTATAAGCGTTTTTCTTTTTCTGTTACCATTATCGTTAGGCAGCCTCCCGCCAAATGCACTCCGTTATAAGCTTCATTCGAATTTAAAGTTTAAAAAAGTTAAAATTTACTGCTTATTAATGGATTGCTCTATATTTCTAGCTTTGTTTGGCTGTTTACATCCATTTCAGGGTGTAGACCCCTCCAAAAATGCGAATGCACAAGTCTTGGTTTTTTGCTGACATAAAGTTTTTTTATCTGAATACTTAGCTGATAATAAATCTTGCCAAATGTCTCTCTTATTTTCCAGGTGCCAAAGCCATTTGCCCAGCAAGGCAACATTCATACAACCCAAATCTAAAATCTCTAAACGGTTTGTCAATTGACTAGGTGATATTTCTTAACCCCTTGATACTCTTGCCATAGAAATCTGGATATGAAAAATCTATTATTTTACTTATTCCTTTTGACAACTCATAAAAGGACATCATGTATAAAGACACACTACTAAGACTTGCATTTATCAGGGTCAATCTCCCACCAATAGCCAAAATTTTCCCCTGCCATCATCCTAGTTTTTTCTCATTTTTTTAGTGGGACTCCAGTACACATTGTGAATTCTCTTCTTATCAATTGGGATTCCCAAATATTTCATGGGAAAAGCACCCCTTTACAAGTTAAAATATGACAGTATATCTCTTCTTTTTCTTGGGCCCCTCCTAAACAAAACACCTCAATTTTATTGAAATTTACCTTCAAACATGACATTTGTTCAAAGAGACACAAGATATACTTCAAGTTTTTTTTGCATACTCCAGGTTATCCTCCAGCATAAAGATAGTGTCATCAGCATACTGCAAAATCACTATCTCATCCTCTGTATATTCCAGCCCTAGCCCTTTAACCATCCCCTGTTCCACTGCTCTATTCATTAAAAGAGGTAGAGCATCAGCTGTAATATCAAAAAGTAGTGGAGACAAAGAGTCTCCTTTCTCAAACCTTTATAGGTTTGGAAAAAAATCCCATATCTCATCATTTACCTTAACTGCCACTTTACCCTCTTCAACACATCTCATGATCCAATCACACCAAACACTAGGGAAGCCTTTTGCTTCCAGCATCTAACATAGAAATGGCCATTTTATTTTATCATAGGCCTTCCCGAAGTCCACCTTAAACAGAACTCCTGATTGTTTTTTCATATGAACACTATTTAAAACTTCATGCATTATCACGACTCCCTCCATGATGTTTCTTTCTTTAAGAAAAGCAGTTTGTGCTTTCTCAATTAAGTCAGCTATGACATAGGTTAGCCTCTTCATCAGGGTTCTTGTTATGATTTTGAAACTAACATTAAGGAGACATATTGGCCTAAACTTCTGAATTTATGCTGCATTTTTGCATTTAGGAATTAAGGATATAACCCCATATTTTAGTCTTTTGATATCCAAAATCCCCTGATGAAAATCATCAACCATAACTTTTAGATCATTTTTTATCACCTTGCAAAAGTGTTTATTAAAATCAGCAGGAAAACCATCAGGCCCAGGTGCCTTGTTACTTCCATTTCAAACACAACCTTCTTCACCTCTTATAGAGTAAAGGGTTTCAACAATTCCTTCTTTTGATCTTCAGACAATTGTCCCATCTCAAAATTTTGTAATCTTATATTAGATCTTTCAGGTGGCCCAAACAGATCTTTATAAAAATCTGTTATAAAACTCAACATCTGCTCTTGCCCATCAATCAACACATTCTCCTGTTGCAAAGAAAAAAAATCATATCTTACCTCCTTCTCCCATTAGCCTTGGCATGATAGTACTTAGTGCTATTATCACCCTCTAACACATCTCTCTCCTTTCACCTTTGTAACCATTTTAGCCTCTCCTCCTCATAGTAAACCTTAGTTGATCCTCCAATCTCCCTCTCTCTTCTCTGCTCCTCACACATACACCATGATTCTCACACCATTTGTTAACTCTTCTAACTCGCTCACTAATTTCTCTTTTTCTCTCTTATAATTTCCTTCCTAATTCATATTTGAACCCTTAAGAGCTTTCCTTCAATCTCTAAGTTTTCTTTGCCATTTTTTCTATATTTGAGATATCCTCTTTATTATTCCCCTAGGCTTTTCTCACCACATCATCTACATCTTCTCTCAACATCCAACTATTTTCAAACTTAAAAATTGATTTTTTTTAATAACTGATATGTATCCAACAGAATAGGAGCATGATCAGAATAAATCCTCTTCAGACTTTCTACTATTATAATGGATACTTCCCCTCCCAGCTTTTAGAGAGTCACCTGATTATTACACCATGTGAACTTCCTACCACACATACTCAACTCCCACAAATTACTTTGATTAATAATTGCATTAAACAGAAAATTGTATTTATTATAACATCACTTCTTATTTTTATCACTTTCTTTTTTAATTATGTTAAAGTCACCACAATAGCATTGGATGAGACTATTCTGACAAACCAAATTTCTGCTATAAACTCCTCTAATGTTCCAAAAAGACATTTAATTTTCTTTTCTTATATTTATTTTACTTCCATACCCTTTATTCACTTTTGGGGTTAACTTAATTTTAAGGGGCTCCTTTTAATTTTTTTTTCATTACCCAAATCTCTAGGTCTAAATTTGACTTTATAGGATCTTAGATAAATTAAAATTAGAATTCTCCTTATCAGAGCTGTTAACACTAATTAACCCATTATCATCTACCTCATGTGGAGCATCCTCCACTTTATTTTCCACTTCCTTATTAACAAATTAATCCTAGCCACTTTAAGATCCCTAAACAAATTAGCAAGAAGGAATTGGAGATACTTTTGTTTATGAAAGCATTCCTGATATCGGCTGTTGACTAGAACCTGCAACTGTGAGAGAAATAAGATACAATTTAATCACAAATTCAGTTACAAAAATAGTGCGATTTTTGAAATAACACGAAAATACAATTACACTCACAAGTGTCTACGAAAATACAATTACACTCACCAGTGTCTCGTAACAGCACAAGATACAATTTAATCACAAATGCAGTTACAGAAATAGTGCGATTTTCGAAATAACACAAAAATACAATTACACTCACAAGTGTCTACAAAAATATAATTACACTCACCAGTGTCTCGTAATACAAAAATATAATTACACTCACCAGTGTCTCGTAACAGCATAAGATACAATTTAATCACAAATTCAATTACAAAAATAGTGTGATTGTTAAAATAACACGAAAATACAATTACACTTACCTGTGTCTCGTAACAACATATCACTAACAGGGCAAGGACGTCGGCTGGGACAACAGCGAGAGCAAGGGTGAATTGGGAGACGCTTCCAGCAGCAACTGAAGGAAGACATGTAGAGTGTATAATATGCTGAACTGTTGTCGCTTAGGCATAATCTGTGGAAGACATCTGTGACACCCTGCGTAGACAGGGTGATAGATGCTTTTGCCCTTCCTATCGTGCTTTTGTTCATCCCGGCTTCCAAGTCACGGTACACTACTCAAATCAAATCTGCAACCGAGCCTTGCGGGCCCTAAATCACAAATGGAAAGGGTCAGTTTGTGTGCAATGGCGTATAAATATTACATTTACATGTAGTTTTCTTTTTGAGGAAGAAGCTCCATTTTTTCAGGAAGAAGCTCTATCTTGTTATTTGGCGGCTTGCAATATAAGCCTCTCGCAGCATGCGGGTCAGCATGGGAGTAGTGGTTGTATGAATTCTAGTACACTCATTTCTGAGATGGTTTGCCATGTACTTAATAGAAGAGCATTAAAAGAAACTGCAGACCAGACACCAAAAGCCTACTCTCGACTTCGCTTCACTATAAATATGAATTGTGAAGGGCCAGAGAAGCTTCCCTTGGATTAGTGTTCTTCGGCAACCGTCATATCTATTATGCATGAAGAACAATCACAAATGACTATACATAACATAACAAACAAGGAGATTATTAGGGGAGAGCTACAAATCGGATGTCCGATGATGTAAAAAAATCGGACGGTCAAATGTTTCAGTTGACTATTGGTGCAACATTAAGTTATACATGGTGAAACAAAAAAATCAGTCTCTGAAACATATAGAAATTTTGTGAAACACAATGAGAATACATGGTGAAACATATTGCTATCACGTATGAAACAATAAGTTTTTATTGTTTGAAACATATGTTTTTCTTTCATCAGAATATAATCATGTGATATCTTGTTGTAAACATTTAATTATAACGAATTCAACAGTGTGATCGAATCGTTCATCGGATAAATAGTTTAGAAGAAAAATATTTTTAAGATCACTAATATATGCAAGCATCCATGGTGTGGGAGGGAGCCAATAGAATGGAATGGCAGGAGAGAGAAGGGGCAAAAGCGTCTCATAATTTTTTGGTCATTAGTGAAACATTGAGTTATACATGGTCAAACACAAATTCAATTATTGAAACATTTAAACTTTTTTATGAAACATAATGAAAACACATGTTGAAACATATTGCTAACACGTCTGAAACATTAAATTTAACGGATTGAAACATATGTTTTCTTTCATCAGAATATAATGATGTGATATGTTATTGTAAAGATTTAATTATAACAAATATAATGGTGTGTTCATATCATAGATTAGATAAGTAGTTCAGAAGAAAAAATATTTTGAAAATCATTAAAGCATGTATGGATGTGTGGAGTGGACAGGGAGATAGTAGTTTGCTTGTCCGATTTTTCTCGTTACGTCAGACGTATGATGCTAAGCATTTTCCAGAAAAAAAAACATGTATCCTATCTTCCTATATATATAAAGTTGTATCTAATCATTTAAAACTTTGATTTTATTAAAAATAACAAATCTCATGGCAATGTGTGTGGTGCCAACTAGTAATTAGGCTGGGTTCGTTCCGTGGGGTTGGGATCTAATCCTCAAGCACACAAAACGGAGCAACACATTAGCACATGATTAATAAAGTATTAGCTATTTTTTAAATATGATTTTTAATGCAACTTTCGTATAGAAATTTTTTGTAAAAAATACATCGTTTATTAGTTTGAAAATCATGCGCACGGAAAAGAAGGAGGTGAGTTGGGAAGGCTAGGAAACGAAATTGATTTCCTTTAGAATACAGGGAAGTAGGTAAATGCTGATGAGAACATTAGGACTCCTCATAACAAGTTCATCTAGTAACTTGCTGAAAACAATTAAATGAATGTTAAAAAAAACGATGAGTTTTTTTGACAATTTTATTACAAAGATAGCACAGCAGCAGTCATATGTCACGGTTAAGAAGCCTCTTAAAATCAGCACATTCAATATTTATCAACTCTTGATTTGAATAGGTGGATTCAATACTCTTCAGGGAAGCTATATGGTTATAAAACATAGCACTCACTTTCTCTAGCCGATCATTCAAAATAAGATGACAACACTTTACTTTTCGGCAGTGCAAGAGCAAAAGAGGATGTTTTATGCATCACCTCCTGCCACTGTGTTGCCAAGGAACCCTGCCAATCGTAGTTAATGATGTATTCATGGATCCACATCATCAATTGTAAACCCCATAGAAAAATAATTTCAGATATATAGGTTAGATTATATATACTAGTAGAATTGTCCCAAATTTTGAACTCTTATATCGGGCATTCTGCATTCCCAATTTCCCTAGACTCTACCCAGTATTTCGCATTTCTAATTTCCCTAGACTCTTTACAGTGCCATCCGCCTACGCGTCACAGTCCCCGAAGATGACGGATATAAGTATACTATTATGCTTAATATTTATAAGAAAATGAAATTTTTATGTGACTTTCACCAAGCAATTTGGGGTATAGGATACTGTTCCTAACATGTAAGGTTATATGGCATATTTGATCCTAGCTGTGTAGGGTGACATGAAAGATTAACTATTTCTGGCAAATAATTATAAATGCATTATGATTAGTTATAAATGAATCATGTAATATTTATCTCATAGTGATTGTTATTCATCAAAATATGGGCCTAGACAACCGCCGTCACCACCACTAGATGTAGAAACTGATGATGTATCTGTTATCGTTGGTGAAAACAAGAGTTACGAAAGTGACAACAATTAGTGTGTGATGTAAGTCTGTATTTTCCTAAATGACTATTTCTATAATGTATATAAAGTTGTGTTTTAATTCATTTTCTAGAACAAAGGTACTCATATTAATAAATAGATACAAATATTAATATTTTTATTTTTATTGTTATTTACTTCCTCCGTTCTATATTAAAACATTTTAGTTTTGTCGTAAGTTAGATTTATTTAACGTCGAATGAGTTTAGAGAAAGATGGATTGATATTTGCAATGACGAATAAATGTATATATTATATATACTTATTACTAATTTTAAGTTATATAACATAACATAAGGTATATGCATTTGTACATAGTAAAAGACACAATTGACTTGAATAGTATTTATAATGCACTATGATCATTAGATTCATAACAAATGTTACTTTTAAATTTATCCATATAAGTTATATATATATATATATATATGTTTATTGGTATTATCTAATATTATCTATATATATTATTAATTGAGAGAATTCTAGATTATGTTTTAAAAAAATGTCTCTCAAATTATAGCAACTAGTTAAATAACTTGGATGCATCAAAATCTCTCTCAAATTCTAAAATTTGACTGACGAGGCATCGAAAACAAATCTTTGTTCTCAACCTTAAAGTTTACTACCTTCGTCCCACAAAGAATGCAATCATAACATTTGAGATAATAATTTTGTTAGATGGATAGAGTGGATCCAATTAACCTAAAGAAGTATTTTCAACACCCTGGTATAGGTATATGCATGTTTTATACATTGTTAAATAAAATATGAAAAATTACATGTTGTATACATTGTTAAATAAAATATGAAAAATTTGGCTAGATATATTATGATAATAATACATTACCATACAAGCAGGCAACTACAATTGACAATTGAAGAAAATTAAAATAATAAATTTTGTCTGCACTTATTTTTGTTTCTTAAAGAACAAATCACTTAATCATACATGTTGATATATGCACTTGAGCACTTCTAACATCACAATCAATCTAATCTTTTTTTTCTATTTGGATGACATACAAATAACGGAGATTGCACCTGTAGACAGTAATATGTCCCTGTTAGTGATCCCGATGATGGCCGTGGAGCAGGGTGGAATGGATTCTAATCCCGGGTTTGGAGTTTGGACTATAATTACTCCCTCCGTTTTTTAAGAGATGACGCCGTTGACTTTTTCTCACATGTTTGACCATTCGTCTTATTGAAAAAATTTATGTAATTATAATTTATTTTGTTATGAGTTGTTTTATCACTCATAGTTCTTTAAGTGTGATTTATATCTTATACATTTGCATAAAATTTTTGAATAAGACGAATGGACAAACATGTGAGAAAAAGTCAACGGCGTCATCTGTTAAAAGCGGGGGTAGTATCAGACTAGGAAATTGCGGGAACAAATTAACTGCGTATGAAATATTGGAAATTTGATCACACCGTACCATACTGGAGTACCACGTTGCCATTGATCACCGTACTACCAGATGTACATTATTAGGAATAACGAGCAGCTAATTACACAAGACGCCGCCCCGCCGGCGAGCACTAGGAGCTAGGATGAGCCGGCGCAGTCGGCGCCGGCGAAGGTGACCGTGCCGGCGTCGAGGTCGTAGCCGACGTGGATGTTCTGCTGCGCGAGGTTCCCGAGGATGGACACCGGCTGCTGCTCCGTCGTCGCCACGATTGCCAGGCACAGCGTCCCCTCCTGCACCGCCACGAACGCGTTCTCCGGCTTCAGCGCCACCGCCGCGCCGCCGCCGAACTCCAGCGTCAAGTCCGGGATGCTCTCGCCGGCCTCCACCTCCCGCCCGGCAACGTTGTAGCACAGCTGCAGCAGCCCGTCCGGCGACTGCACCGGCGGCAGCGTGATCCGGCGGGAGAGCTCGTCGACGATCGGCCCCAGCAGCGACGGGTCGAGGAACGTCAGCGTCGTGCCGGAGTCCACGATGATGCGGGAGCTCGCCGCCGACGCCACCGTCTTGTTCCCGACCTTGACGGAGTCGAGGACCACGGTGTAGTACGTGTCCACGTCGCCGGCGACGAGCGGCGTGCTCGCCGCGCCGGGCTCGGTGACGTCGGCGAGGGCGCCGAAGTTGAGCGCCGACGAGGCGTTGACGGAGTGCGGGACGAGGCAGTAGGAGAATCTCCGCCCGAGCGACGTCGCGCCGCCGAGCTGCGTCACGAGGGAGACCGCGCCGCCGCCGAGGCCGACCAGACCGTCGGCCGGGAACGAGCCGGCCGTCGCGGTGGAGCAGCCGAACTTGACGCCGCCGACGCGCACCTGGCGGGGGCTCCTCCCCGAGCCGCCGTCGTCGAAGGTGAAGGTTTCGGTGGAGAGGACGCCGGTGGTGTTCGACCCGTCGCCGTAGGCGTAGAGGTAGGCGCAGTTCGACCCGTCGTCGCAGGTGGCGCGGCCGAGCGCCTCGCAGGCGTCGGTTTGGCAGCTCACGCGGCCGTACGTCGACGACCGGGACGGGTCGAACTGCGTCGTCGGCGCCGCCGCCGATGAGGTGTCGTTGTTCCCCTTCTTGCACTTCACCCACACGAGGTCGCTGCCCGTGTCGGCGATGGCCAGCATCGAGCGCGGCGGCGAGCCGAGGTTGACCGTCATGAGGTACTCGAACGACCGGGACACGACCTTCGACACGACGTCGTCCGCCGCGCCGCCGCCGGAGGCGGAGGAGGAGGCGGAGCCCGCGATCGCGGCGGCGCGCGCCACGGACCGCCGCGCCGCCGCGAGCGCGCGGCCGTGGGCGGTGAACGCCGGGTCATGGAACGGCGACCTGGGTGAGTCACGGTGGATGAACTCCACGCTGAATCCGCCGCCGCTCGCCGCGCACTCGCACAGCCTCCCGCCGGCGACGAGGAGGACGACGCCGAGGAGCACGAGCACGGAGGAAGGCGCCATGGCCGCCATCGTCGAACACCTTCACACAGAAACTCACTCTCTACTCCTCACGCTGCTAATGGCGTATTCATAGGGAGATTACTCGTAACGTAAATGGTAAATCACGAGTGATTAAGGGGGGTGATTAATGGGATGATGAGTATGAACTGGCATAATTACATACTACTAATCACCTGTGCATGCATGGAAACATGCAAAATGACGATACAGATAGCTTTGGCAGTGGAGATTTTGATTGGAAGGAGAGATACGTTTTTTAAATTTTTGCGCGTTAAACTGATCCTTTGGTTGAGCTAATTTATATACTACCTATTTTGGATTTAAGCATTAAAGAATTCTTTTTTGAGTGTGGATGATTTCAATGTGTGTGTGTAAATTCGGTGATTAATTAATATCCAGCAATTTTTCCTGTATAGTCAATTAATCATAGCCTATTCGGTTTGATCAATTGTGTCTATCCTTCCATTATTTGTTTCCCTTAGTGTTCATTACAGGTTGTTTTCTCTTGTTCTTTTTCTTCTTCTCTCTTTTTTTTTTGAAATTTCAGTAGAATTTGCATAATATAAGAGGATTTGATTCCTATCGGCGACGGGTCGAGGATGTGAGTAAAGTCCTTTCAGGATTTCAGCCTGGCCCATTTCTAAACAGCACAAAGGCTGCAGATCTTGCGTACCATTCGCCTAAGTCCAGTTTAGTCCCGAAAAGCCCAGTTCAGTGGGCCGGAGGCCCGTAGATAGGATCATGAGAGGAGTTTCTTTTTCTTTTTTTTTCTGAGAATATAAGAGGAGTAAATTCATGTTGGGCCTAGAATAGCATAATGACCAATTGATGGACCTCTACCTGTCATTTCATCACAACTATGATTTTTCTTTTTTCAGAAACAGGAAAAAAGCTGAACAGTAAGGAAGTTTCGTATTTTCCCTACAGAAATACTAATTTGACATCATTTTGTCTTTTTAGTAGTACGCAATTTTTTAACATATATCCCTTCCGTCTTAGAAAAAAAAGATCAATCCTAGTTATGAACCTGTACATACGTATCCAGGTTCATAGCTAGAATTGGGTTTTTTATGGGACAGAGTAGTAGTTAGTAGGAATAAATTTCAATTTTTTTGATTCAAATTTCCACACATGGTGTTATCTGGGCAGTATCTTGGATGGTTCTGCAGGAGGTGAGACAACATTGCACAGTGTCAAACAAGCTTAGACGTCTTCTATTATTATGTAATATTTTTGTAAGATATGGTTAGTATGAATAATAGTCAAATTTGTTTCATACAAATTCTCACATGATGTTATTTGCGCAATTTCTTGGATGGTTCCATGCAGCAGCATGGCACACAGGCGCAGTGTCAATAGACAAGATTAGACAACTAGTGAGATTTCAGAGGCAACACCAATTGAACAACCCTATTTGTAACCATACAACCTCTCTAATTAATAGTCTAATTAGTCAGTGGTGTTACTTGCAAATGATGCAAAGTGGCATCTGATGCCCCTCACTTGGCAGACAAAGTGTAGGTTGACTGACCAAACAAAGCCCTGAATTACCTCGTCTTCACAGACAAGTCATTACCAAAGAGAAAAGGTCCATCTTTTCACAGGAATTCAGAAAAGAAGGAAGTACCAGTACTATATATCACTGCACTAAGCAAAAACAATTTGACTATTAGCAAAAAGCATCCACAGCTTGAAGAAAGCAAGTACTAGTAGTAGCAAGAAGATTCTAATTGACCTACTGTTTGTGCAAATGGCCTACTTAATGGTTCAATTAAGTAGGCACAACTAGGTACTCCTAGGTGAGTATGCTGTTTGTGACAAAATGAATAAATAGAGAGATGTGACAAAATGAGTAGAGATGATTCTTTTCAGATAGTAGTGTCATTTGTTTAGCACAAACTCATGTTTGTACAAATGATGGGACTACTAAATTCCATGACCAAAGTGATGAGTAAGGGTCCTATACTAATGTAATTCCTTGTCTTGAATAACTGTATTAACAGTATTCTTCTCCTTCTGAATACTGAACCTGAACATGCAACATGCAGAGCAGAGACATGGAAGATTCAGGATCAAACTGGATACTGCAGATCGGGGGCAGTACACGCTTTTAAAGTAGTAGGAAATCTGGAACCACGAGGATTTGATTCTGAGTAGAATATGATCAGTACTATACTTAGCAACTGAATTTGGATTAGGTTAATCGTTCATGTGTGATTAACTAAAGGGGAGAGGGATTTTGTCAAGTCAGAAGGGCGTGCAACCTGTTTGATACTGTGATCCCTGAAGATCTCTGGTGTTGGTCTGGTCGAGCAGAGCATTTTGGATACGCAAGTGCAGTGCAGGTCGTCGATCGGTCGCTGGCCGCCCTCTCTGAATGATCCTGTCGAGAGATCCCAAACAGGACAAGACCAGACCATCAATTCACAAAAGAACGAAGTTTTGCAGAATATTATTCCGTCCGTTTTCAAATAACCGATAATTTTAACTTTGCTATCTAAACTTTAACCACTAGCTATTATTGGATGGTTAGACTAAGGCCGAGTTTAGTTCCAAACTATTTTTTCAAACTTCCAACTTTCCATCACATCAAAACTTCTACACACACAAACTTTTAATTTTTTCGTCACATCATTCTAATTTCAACTAAATTTCCAATTTTAGTGTGAACTAAACACACCATGGAAGCGAACAATGTAAAATTTTTGGGAAAAAAAAGACGAGCCATTGAAGCATGAAAGTAAATAGTGTCAGCTGCTGGTTATTTTAAAAAGCAGGGAGTAGCTTTGAAGAGCAAACGAATTTTACACAAAAGTTCAGATTTTTTTAAAGAGAAATTTGTGTTGTTTTTTGGGGTGAAAAGCGAGGAAAGTCAAGAGAGGGGACAAGCAACCGACAGGGGGGCACAATCACATGTCCCCGCTTTATGCTACTCGTACCTCATTGGCTGTTCACTGATGCTGCCTCCGTGCCCACCCAACCATTTCACTTTCACCCCTCTCAAATCCAATCCCAATTCGATTCCAATTCAATTCAATTCTGGAGGCTATTTACTCGTAACCGTGTGACTCACTCCATCTACCACAGAGTGTCTTTAGTTCACGTCAAAAATAGAAGTTTGGTTGAAATTGGAACGATGTGACGTAAAAGTTGGAAGTTTACGTGTGTAGGAAAGTTCTAATGTGATATAAAAGTTGAAAGTTTGAAGAAAAATTTGGAAACTAAACTAGGCCACAGTCTACTACGATGCTACTGGAAGACAACTTGTTTATTTGATGAGTAAATTTAATAAAAAACCATGTTTTGAGACACTCATAATGGAGAATCCAAAACTTTTTTATAGTTTATTTCATAAAATCTTAGATTTTAGGGTGAAATATTTTACGAAAACTCATGGTACATGCTTATGACATCCATTTAACTAATATATACATATATAATTGTGAGAAAATTGTATGAGATATTTTCTAAGTTATGTAGTAGTAGATGAAAGTTCCTTTTTTTTAAAAAAAATGTATTTTTAAAATCATGAAGCAAATAATTCGTGGTAAAAAATAGGACAAAGTACGAAAAGAACATGGCCATCTTGAGTTTTCTTCTTTGACTTCTCTATTTCTTACATTCTAAAATTCCAATTTAGAGTGACAACTTAAGACATACAAATACTGAAGTTGTCTACTGTACGTGTGAGTTCTTACGTCAACTACAGTAAATACATACAACATGTACAGTACCCATTATATGTTTATTATTTTAAAAATGAAAACTAACATTTTTTTATGTTTAATAAACTCATATCGTTGTCTTGATTTTTCTTCTCTCTATCTTGCTGTGCACGAGTGCCTGTTTTATTATTATTAACTGACGAACGGATTCTTTCTCATCCACCGTACGAAAAAGGAAAAACTACGGGAAAGGCACCGTGGCCGTCGGATCGGGATCGTGCGGCGATGAGGGTGGCGTAGCGTGGAGCCGGTCGCTGCAGGGCGCCCAACCGACAGCCCGGGCCCACTGCCGGGAGCGACCCGCGCGAAATGCTCGGCCACTATTTCCTTGTTTATTCCGTTTTGGGAAAACACACAACACTAAATTAATTTCCCCCCTTTTTGCACTTAACTCCTACCTTTCCTATCTTTTCATCTCTAACTGCATTTTTCCACTAACTTCAGTTTATTTGATTTTTATGAAAGTTTGGTGATTTGAAAACCATCTTTTATGCACTGGTTAGATTACTTGTTGTAAACTATTTGTAAAAATTATTTTCTGAAATATTTTTATTTTTATAATTAAATACATATTCCTAAAAAATAACGTAATGATTAATAATCTACGTCTCTCTATTCCGTATTTTATATTATAACTCGCATTGATTTTTTTATTAGTTAAATTTCTTTAGATTTAATTAAGTATATAAAAAAAAGTTTGCAACAGTTAGCAACACCAACAATACCAAATTAGTTCCAGTAAATTTAACATTGAACGTATTTTAATAACATCTTTTTTTTGTTTTAACAATATTACTAGCATTGATTTTTTTTATTAGTTAAATTTCTTTAGATTTAATCAAGTATGTAAAAAAGTTTGCAACAGTTGGCAACACCAGCAATACAAAATTAGTTGCACTAAATTTAACATTGAACGTATTTTAATAATATGTTTGTTTTGTGTTAACAATATTACTATATTTTTCTACAATCTCGATCAAACTGTTTTTTTATATAAAAATGATTAGGAAAATACCAAAACAACCAATCAAACGGGGAAAGTAAAATGTAATTTGACATGAGGTCAGGTGCTAATGTGTAAAATGGCAGTCCCGGGTCACTGACCGTTTTGACCACCGGTGACCTCCCAGCTATAACCAACCCAACCTCTTCCCTTCTCCCATTTTGCTTTGCTTTCTTTGCTTTCCTCTCCTCTCTCGCCGCCCACCTCGCCGTCGCCGCCGCCGCGAGGGCCAACGCCGGCGAAGTCCGCGAGCCGAAGCATCACACAGCTGCGCCAGCGATGTCGGTGGAGACGGAGCGGAGCTCCACGGAGTCGTCCGCCGCGTCGGGGCTCGACTTCGAGGACACCGCCCTCACCCTCCGCCTCCCGGGCTCCCTCGCCGCCGCCGCCGCACCTGACCCCGACCGCAAGCGCTCCTCCCCCTCCTCCTCCGACGCCGCCGACGCCGCAGACAACTCCTCCCCCCTCGCCGCCGCCGCCGATGCTCCCCCTGCTCCCAAGTATATACAATACACTGCCTCTTCTCTTGTGTTCTTGCGCGCGAGAGGTTTGATTGGGTGGTGTTTGGATTGATTGGTGAGGTTGTGGTTTGTCAGGGCGAGGGTGGTGGGGTGGCCGCCGGTGAGGTCGTTCAGGAAGAACGCGCTGGCGGCCAAGTTCGTGAAGGTGGCCGTGGACGGCGCGCCGTACCTGCGCAAGGTGGACCTCGAGGCCTACTCCGGCTACGACCAGCTCCTCCGCGCGCTCCAGGACAAGTTCTTCTCCCACTTCACCATCCGTAAGCTCTTCTTCTTCATCATCTCTCGATCCATCTGATTCTGTTGGTTGTTCGAGCAATTGACGGGAGGAAAGTTGCAGGGAAGTTCGCCGACGACGAGAGGAAGCTGGTGGACGCGGTGAACGGGACGGAGTACGTGCCGACGTACGAGGACAAGGACGGCGACTGGATGCTCGTCGGCGACGTCCCCTGGAAGTGAGCCTCTTCTTTGATTTCTTGCCAACCTTTTCCTTTTCCCCTTGATTCATTCATCACTTGGTTGTGAAATTCGTGTTCCAGTGCCAGATCTTAGTATGATTCTTGATGGTTTTCCATAGTGGATAATTTGTTGGTCTGGTTCTTGGACCGACCAGGTTAGAATGTCTTGGCTCTGATTCGTTCGAGAAATTCAGAGTACTTCATTTGTTGATTTGGAGCTATACATAACTGTAGAGGCTTTGGTACTATTGCTAAAAGTGGTATTTTGTGCTGATAGAGATCTGAAATGAATTTGGTATATAGATGCATGATGCTTTACGTTTTGGGTAGGAAGCAGATATGGTTTGCTTTGCTTGTGGTTTTAGTCTAAAAATGGGTGCTTTTTATATGTTGTGTGGTCTCATGGATATGCTCTTAGTTGTTGACATAATCCAATGCAAGTTCATGAATGCATTTCAAAGATTTGGAGTTGCTTATGTGGCTCTGGTCTGTGTTGATCTGAAGAAAGGGGGGTTAGTTAGGGATCTGAACAAATAATGCATTACTAACAACAAATCATACCCTGATTCCATAGATAGTGAAACCCCTTCCCTTTCAGTCTTGAGGTTAGGTTACATTGGAAATGCAGATTGGATTCTACTAGTGGCCAATAATAGGAAGTTCTGTTTGGTTCTTGTTGCACTACGTCTTGCGTTACTGTTGCTTCCTTAGCAGATTAAGCAACTTTGATGTATCACTTCCAAATAAATAAATTGATGTGCAATCTCTCTCCTCCTCAGAGCAACTAGCCTATGAGGCCTCTGTACAATAAAAAGAAGAACCCCACTTTGTTAGGATAGACTACTTTGGATAAGCTTGCCTTTCTAGTTTTGTTCTCCACTACCTGGAACACACTGTTCATTGACCTATGGGCTGTGCTATGAGGCGTCGATCCTTCTTGATCCTTCTAGCTAAATTTCGTTTGATTAATTTTTGAGATTGTTTTTGTCCTACTTATTATGTTTCTTTATCTTACTTTTTGGTGAACTGCAACAGTTCTCATGAAACAGTAAATGGCACAAATGCTCTCTTTTTATCTTCAGCAGTTTCTGACCTTAATGGTTGTGCAGGATGTTTGTGGAAACTTGCCAGCGCCTTCGTCTCATGAAAAGCTCAGAGGCTGTCAACTTAGGTACATGTTTGCTTAGTTGTTTTAAATTCACCTGCCTACGCAAGAGCTGTTTTTACTCTCTTTTGTACCTGCGTCCTCAGCCGTCTTGTTCTAATCGGTTTGTTCTCTCCCTTGCAGCACCAAGAGCCGCTCAATGAGGCATTCCCGGTGCCCATGACCGTGTGGTTGGATTGAAAGAAAGTGGAAGCTTTGCCCCGCCGATGTTCGCCCACGTGTGATATGAACATGTACAGTTGTCTCCTACTACTTTTGGTTCCTTGATGATGCTGAGTTGAGAAAAAGGTTGTAGTTTCGTTACTCGTCTGTAGTCTCTCCATATATAGATAATGAAGCACTGAAGCTTGAAATATACACCTACAGTTTGTCTCTTTATGAATAAGACCATATACGCAAAAAAACCGATGTTCTTTGCTGCGGCTCGCGTGTCGTCAGGCTATATGCAGTTTTTTGTCGCACCATAGGCGATGGACATCTCTGGCCTTATACTTTCGTAAAAATCTTATCATGTTAAGCGATGGTCTTGCTTTGGAGTTCATAGTTCTGTGCTCTATGATGTGCAATCAGCTTGGTGTTCATCTATATATAATCTTTTGCTGCTGTATTCTGGTTATTGTACTAAGTTGTAACTGACGAAATGATCTCTTGGATGTTAGTGTCTTCGCTGATTGATATGAGCTCGTATCTATTGCTGCTGCATTCTGGTTTCTGTAACGAACAAAATAGTTTGTTGGTGAGGCTGAAAAACGTTATTGGAATGTTCAGTGTTTTACTCTGAATCATATGTGAACATATCAGATGTGTTAGTCTGAAAAAAGAGCAATAATTGTTCAGTTGAAAAAGGATGATGGATTCATGGATGAGCTTACCCTACCCCGGGCCATGTTCTTCCATGGACGCTTTGGACAGAAAAGAAGAACAGATAAGATCAGATCATCGAACGACAGGTCACCGTCGTCGTTAAGGACGGCGGCGAGGTCGCTGTCAAAACTCGCCTGCTTTTTCCACAAGATGGGCCATGGCGTGACCTCACCGGCCGGAGATGGTCGCCGGCGGCGGCGACGGATCGACGACTACGGTTGCTCAATTTTCTTTGCTATTTTTTGTGCATGGGTGAGAAGAAAACGACCTCTCTGATCCATGTCGGCCTATACTGCGGCGGCAACCGTCGTTTCTTCATTTGTTTTCTGCTTCGAGAAAGCGATGCTACATGGACTTGTGGTGGTATAAAATTAGAAATTATAAATCTGATCTTAATTATTTAAGTTGTTGCGAGAGGGCATATATACACCTGCATAGCACTTCAAGATTTCGAGTTTAAATCTTATATCTTGATGGATATGGAGAATTTCAAATTGAGTTATTTGAGAGAGTAAGTTACCACTTTAAATGGCTGTATATATTCAATTCGATGTAGAGGATAGGTAAAAAATACCATTGTTTATAAAAAATAAAAAAGTTATGAGTTGTTAACTGCAGGCTCCGTTATTTGGAACTTGGTCCTGAACATTAGTCTCTTTGATAAACATAGTATTTGACGTTTAGGATAAAATTCGGACACTTTTACAATCCAACCATCATTAATTCCTTATATTTTAGTTTTTTAAAAAATATTATGCGGAGAACTGTTTTGAAAAGCACTCTCGTAATGTCATAAACTTATTAATATTCGTACAATCCTTTTAGTATAAAATTGATTGTTAGAAATCTTAAAGTTTGACTAAATATTACTCTAAACATCAAATTTTTATGACTAATGCTGAATCTTTTTTATTGCGTGATACTCAATGGTTTAAAAGTTCTGTATCTTTTCACCTTGGGGCGAAGAAAAGTTTGGAGGACTTCATGCTTACTCAAGCTACAGTTTATTAGAGGAGATGATTAGGGATTTGGAATGTCCATGGTCAAACATACCCATCATTTGATTAGAGAGAAAACAATGAACGAATTGACCACAATTTCTCATCAAGTGGATATTTCATATTTGCGCGGAGGAAAAAACATGATCTAACTATTTTACGTGGAGCACCATCTATGATAGGTTAATTGTTTCTCTATCTGGATTCTATGGCAACGCTACATACCCTCTGTTTCCCTCCACAAATAATGTCCTTCAAATTTACCATCAGAATCTACTGCTCTCTCTGTTTAAAAAAGAAACCAATTTAGATGGGATGTGATTCTACCCAAAACTTTTTATCCAGATTCGTTATTTTATGTAGAGTCATACTCCTTCCAGCCTAAAAAAAAACTAATCTAGTTGGGGGATGTGATCCTTAATAGGAGAATGAATCTTGACTATCTTAGGTTGAGTTTTTTTTTGAAACGGAGGAAGTACACATCTATGGGTGTGTTTAGTTCACGCCAAAATTGAAAGTTTGATTGAAATTGAAACGATGTGACGGAAAAGTTGAAAGTTTATGTGTGTAGGAAAGTTGATGTTATAAAAAAGTTAGAAGTTTGAAGAAAAAGTTTGGAACTAAACACGGCCTATATTATTTTTTCTAATACCGAGGGATTACAATGCAGCAACGAATTTAAAAACACGAATTAAACTACACGAAACGGAAATGACACGACATTTCTCGACCGTTACACCCGATTTCCCAATTATCCCCTCCCAAAACGGAAGCAATAAAAAAAAAGAAAGAGAGAGAAAAAAAAGCCGTAACATCCAACGGCTACGATTCCCCGGTCCCCATGATCGGACGGCCGAGATGATCCGGCGCGCAACGCGCATGCGCGTTGCCAGTGACCACCACCCCCCGTCCTCTCCAAAACGCCAAAAATTTTTCCCCCACTGCTCCCCACTGCTTTCCCCTCCTCCTCCCCGCGAGATCCCATCCATGGTGGCCGCCTCCCGCCCCCGGATCTGGCCCTGACGAGGCCGCCATTGCCGGATATTTTTGGCCCTCCTGCCATTTCCTGAGGTGTCCTGTCGTTTCCCCTTTTTCTTTTTTCTTTTTTGGCCCATTTCTTGTGAGGTGCTTTCTTTGGGTTGGGTTCTTGATCCGTCGCATTTCGCGCCTGGCACTCGGCGATCCGTTCTTGCGATCCCCCGCACGTTGCAAGCGCGGATTTGTTGTTTTTATTATTATTTTTTTTTGTTGTGATTTGCGGCGTCGTGTTCTTGGTGCTGGCTGGCAATGGTGGTTTGATTTGGGGGGGGGGGGGGGGGGGTGGGGGGCCGATTTGATGCGGTGTTGGTGCCGACGGATCTCGCCGCCATGTGGAAGCAATTCATCGGGAAGTTGTCGTGGAAGTCGGTGAAATCGAGCTCCACCGGAGGCGGCGGGGGTGGAGGAGGAGGGTTCTCGCCGACGGCGGCGAAGCCGCCGCCGCCGCCGTCCCCGCGGGCGAATGGGACGGCGGCGGCGGCGAAGCCGAGCGCCTCGCCGCCGCCGCCGCCGCCGCCGGCCGCCGCGGGCGCCGAGGGGAGGTCCAGGGAGGAGGCATTCGTCCAGAACGTGAACATCTGCTGCGCGGTGTTCGACTTCTCCGACCGCGGGAAGGACACCACCGAGAAGGAGCGGAAGCGGCAGGTGCTCATGTCGCTCGTCGACTGCGTCGGCGCCGCCGAGGAGCCCCTCACGGAGGCGATGATCGCGGCGAGCGTGCGCATGTTCGCCGCCAACCTCTTCCGGGTGTTCCCGCCCAAGGCGAGGTCGGGCGCCGCGGCGTCGGAGACGGAGGAGGACGAGCCGTTCTTCGACCCCTCGTGGTACCACCTCCAAGTCGTGTATGAATTGCTCCTCCGGTTCGTGACGTCGCCGATGGTGGACGCGAAGGCGGCCCGGAAGTATGTCGACAGCTCGTTCATCTCGCGGCTGCTGGATCTCTTCGATTCCGATGACCCCAGAGAGAGGGACAGCTTGAAGACAGTGTTGCATAGGATATACGGCAAGTTCATGGGGAATCGGCCGTTCATTCGTAAGGCCGTCAGCAATATCTTCTATAGGTTCGTGTTCGAGACGGATCATCACAACGGGATAGCGGAGCTGTTGGAGGTGTTTGGCAGTGTGATAAGCGGGTTTGCGAAGCCATTGAAGGAAGAGCACAAGTTGTTCCTATGGAAAGCGTTGATCCCGCTTCACAAGCCAAAGACGGTGGGTGTGTATCTTCCGCAGCTGACGTACTGCATCACACAGTTCATCGAGAAGGAAACCAAGCTTGCAGGGACTGTAATCAGAGGCCTGCTGAAGTACTGGCCAGTTACAAACAGTCAGAAGGAGATGATGTTCTTGGGGGAGTTGGAGGAGGTGCTCGAGTTGACCGACATGGCTGAGTTTCAGAAATGCATGGTACCGCTGTTCCGCAGGATTGCAAGTTGCCTGAATAGCTCTCACTTTCAAGTAAGTTCCTTTCCAAATTCAGAACTTTAATTTGAATTAGGTATCGATTAATGTTTGTTCATGAATTGTTTCTCTTCTGTGTATCACGCTCTGCATTTATGTTTGCAACTATCCTGTCCTAAACATCTGAATTGCTTCATGAAGTAGTTGCAAAGCTGTTTATCAGTGGAATCTAATTCTTATTTTAATCCGAGAATCGCTTTGGGATCTCTTTCCTTTTTCTCTGTGCTTTTTCTAGTATATTAGTGTTACCTACACGGTCCCCTTCACCTTTTTATGACAGTCATTATTGAGAAGATATCTCAGCAGTAGGTAAACTTTCTCTGTGTTGGCTAAAGTGAGACCATACACACTTCTTGTTCACTCAAGCACAATTGGTGGCCTCTAACACTTCCCTTTGGTAGGCTTCAGACCATTGTTAATTAAGTATACAACTGGAGCTGAAAGTAGTTTAAATTATATAGTTCTGCTGTGCATCTTGGCTCATGAACCATGACAAGAATCAATTAGGTTAGGTACAATTCTAATTCCCATTGTCATTCCATTTGATTTATGGAACAACTAATGACAGTCACTCTCCCCATTATGGACCCTAATTTTCTATTATCTACTGATATTCTATTTTTCTGGCATATGCTGTTAGAGCTGATAAAACCTTTCATCGGTAAGTTAAACGTTTTTACTTCTTGAATAAGAGAGGGCCCTTAGGAGTTAGGACTGAAACATGACCAGAGCTGTGATAGCACTGCAGTCTGCGGTCTTCATCTTTTAATTCTTGACCATGTTAAAATTTCTCTTCCCGAAAAAGAAGTTGCCCAGGAAACTAAAGATCTGATTTTAATTATGGGCAGGTTGCTGAGAGAGCCTTATTCTTGTGGAACAACGAGCACTTGTTCGATATGATCTCCCAAAATCGTCAGGTGATCCTACCGATCATATATCCAGCTCTGGAGAGGAACACCCGTTGGCACTGGAATCAGTCGGTCCTCAATGTTACCCTGAATGTCAAGAAAATGTTCTTGGACATGGACGAGAGATTGCTCCTGGCCTGCCAGAACAACTTCCAAGCGGAAGAAGAGAAGCGAGCCGCGACCGAGGAGCGGCGAAGGCTGATGTGGGAGCAGCTGGAGCGGAATGCCGCTGCGGCATGCCATCCACATCCAGTGATCACCACTACTGACTCAAGCTTTCCTTCACCCCCTTCATCAACTCCTCTGGTAGCTCCCACTGTGACATGACATGTGGATCAAATATACTCCATTTCCACTTATTTGTTAGCTAGCTAGATGATGATGAAGTTGCTTGCTTCTCCTGGGACTATACAGAAGGCATTTTGTTACCTTCGTAAGGCCCCCCCATGTCAAAGTCTGTAATTAATAGTTGATGGTTTGAGGACAAAATGACACTTGATTTTTTCTTCTTTTTTTGTGGTGTATTCTCGAGTAATGGGCATTGCTTTCTAGGCAAAATCTTTGATTGGTTCATCCTGAGTGAGTGATCTGTCAAAGTGTGGACAACAATGATTTTTGTGTGAGAGAAATGACAAGTTTGCAGCCGTTCTTTGTGGCTAAGAACTTCTGTCTATTTTTAACAGGCACATTTTTAGCTACAGTGTAATAATATCAGATGCACTTGTATAGAAACAAAAAGGGCTTCGGGAACAGCTTAAACAAATTGATTTGTTATTTCTGTTCAATGGACTATATCTGGATGGATTCTATGGAGAAGAAAACAAGAGTAGCTGAGATTTCAGAAGAAATAAAAAACATCTCTTTCAACATTTGTTGTAGGTTATCTGCCTGGTCTTTTCAAGTACTTTTCTTTGCTAAACCACATGAGAAGCATCTCTTCAAAAAGAGGACTAACTGAAACATTGACAAAACAAGATTTGTTGCTCAAATCAAACCTAAAACAAATAATAGAAGAAAATGATGGCAAGGACAAGTATACTCCCTGACGTCAAACTAACACATACATAATCTTCTGGAAATTATCTAGGCCCATCTCTGATGCGCCTACACTTGAACTTTTTTAAGATTGGAAATGGTTTATAATCCTACACTTGAATGCTGTACATTAGCAGCCTAACGGATTGATACATCTGGTTACAAATGTGCACTACATATTGTGTTATTCAAAGCACGGATTCAGTCGTCCTGTCTCCTTGAGTATGGATACCACGCTGCTGGAATTCAAGTAAGAATTCCTTGACAAGTGTGTACCAGACGCTGTTAAATAAATATTTAGCACCCACAATTATGCTTAGGTGGATAAACTGCTCGAATCTCGATTACCTGCCTAGTGGCCGCAATTATTGGCCCTTAATTGTGAGGTTAATCCGTGGCCATTTTGACAGCTTGAGTTTCACAAAAAAATAGCACTACCGGTTTTAATTGTTAACTTAAGAAATAATATTTGATCATTCGTCTATATAAGTACTATTTATTTTAGTGTTACTTTTTCTATTATCAAATGCACTTTAAGCATAACTTATATTTTACATTTTATGCTAAATTTTTAAACAAAATGAATTGTCAAACGTCATTATCTAAAAATCAATATCGTCATATATTTAAAGACATAATAAGAGTATAGTTTTTAAAAGGATTTGAAGAAATTCCAGCGTTCCAAACAGAGATTCATCAGTGGAGTTATCTACCAGTGTTCATGTCTACTAGGGAAGGTCGCAGTTTGACGTGTTTCCAAGTGATATGTTTTCAGTTCAGACCTGAGCTGAGTTTCCTTATAAAAGGAAGCCTCAAGCTGGGCATCATGTGACCCATGCTCTGTTAGTGCCTTCTGTCTATCTATCCCCCTTGCTGGTTTCTTCCTCCTCTTCTGCGTCGTCGACTTCGTCTCCGGCGGCCGCGGCACGGGCGGCGATGTACAACCCTCCGGCGGCGCAGGAGATGTCCTACTCCGACCATGTCAAGAAGCGCCATGAGGACAAAGGCTGCCTCTATGCATGGTGATCCTCTTCTTCTGTCATGCTCTTCTAATCTTTCAGAGAAGCTGTTGATGCTATTTTATGTTGCTTATTAATTTGGATGTCATCTAAACTAGGTTATATTCTCTAGATTAGGATGTGATCTAAGGTATTTTTCAAAGTAGAAATTAGGACATGTTTGTTCATCTTGGATGCACTGTTCAACATTTCTCAAATCATCAGATAGTTCATCTAGTTTCTTCAGACAAGCTGATTTCTGCATCATGTGAGCATTGAACACACTCCTAAAGTCCTACTAGATTCAGAGATGGATGAGCTGAAGTAGTTAGTGGTCATTTTCATGTCCAAGAAAACCAAAGATCATGTGAGATTTTGCCCTGATCAAGAGGGCTTCTTCACCATTTGACACCTTTTTTCCTCTGTTTACCTGTGATCTCTTTCCCTTTTTGTTGCAGCCTGTTCACCCTCTGCTGCTGCTTCTGCTGCTACGAGACCTGCGAGTGCTGCCTCGAATGCCTCTGCTGCTGCTGATCTCCTTATCTCATTTCAGCAGTCAAAATAATGATGATGATATATCATATATAGTCAGGAATAAAAGATATAATATGCCGTTTGAAATGCAGGAATTTATTTTTCCGATTTCAAACCATAGTTTGTTGTTGTATGTGTACTGGTGACAATATCATGGTAGATGAAACTTTCTGAAAATTTGGTAGGTATCAGCAAGATTTGATCTTTTTAGTTGTGCTCCCATCTATAAAATGAATAAATATATTTAAGCTGCCTGCCGAGATAAAATTATTAATCAGACCGTAACAAGCATCCAACTAATATAACAATGGGATAACGTATATTGTACAAATGGGATGTTCATGACAAAGCGCACACATTTCTGATACAAAGAAAGATTTCTCTATTCAATGCGACATCTGTATTAAGATCACTAGAGCTGAATCTATCCATACAAAAATTGGATTCTGTGTGAAAAATTGCTAAAACAACAGTTGCAACTATTGTTAGGAATGCCCAGAAAGAAGCAACTGTCATAAGATTTTCTGTCTGAATTTCATCAGTTGTATTGTATGAGAACCTGTGATGTGTTGCTACTGCCTCTACCACTACTCTACACAACTAAGACCTCAGAAGATGTATACGCACGCCAATGCAGTGATCAGAGTAGTCAAGAACACAGAAACTACATTGACACCATTGTTGTCCAGTATATTCCGTCCTGAAATCCTGGTGACCGTCGGACCGTCTACTCCAACCACCTGCATAAACAAAATTCAGAAGCAATAAAAAGAAAAAATCAACTTCTGATTCAAAGGCAACTAGGGTATATAGACATCTAATAACATCAATTGCAGAAAGCACCATACCTTTTTACGAAGACTACAGTACCCACTGTACTGGAGTGTTGCGCCCAGCAACGAATCGATCAGACTTCCACATAGGCCAGCTGCTGTAGCTAAGGGTATAACCAGCAGCTGCCTCCAGAATACATCAGAAGAACACTGAGTGGTTAAGAATCCTAGTAGCACAAATGTAAGCCCAATCGAGAATCCAGCAGCCGCTGCTGCGAGAAGTCCATCAATGGTTACCCCGCCATTGGTACCCTTCCGTACTCTCTGGTGAAGTTCCATGTCAAAAGCAACAGTGATTATATGTACTGATATTTCTCTAATTGGTAAAAGAGGAAAATGCAATGTTTACCTTGAATGTTGTGATAATTCGTGGTTCCGCTTTGCTGAGAATGCCGAGCTCAGAAGACCATGTATCACCATTGCAGCAAGCATAATGTCCAATAACACCACCAATGAGGGCAGTTACAAGACTAGATTCTCTCGTATCCAAGCACCTATCGCTCCCTCCTGTGACAAGTGCTATCAAAACTACCAAGACACTTGCAATGCCACTGTTTGACAAAACTTGCTTCCTGCCAATAAGAGTGGTGTGCACCTGCATTAGAAAGATTCAGAAGGGTACTTTCTGAAACTGAAAGGCATCTTATTCATCTCAATAACGGTGACAACAGTCCTTAAACTTTGGATCCCTTTTAAATAGGTGATTCTTTTTCCTTTGAAAAATGCCTCTTGGATAAATTTGGGAGAAAATACAACAAGACAAACTTCATGAAAAATGGGATTGCGTTCCGAGTTGAATCTTGAAAGGAAGTAGGCATACCTCAAGTTAATAAGGACAATTTGAACAGTTTAAACAGTTTCAAATGTTGTCAAACTACATACTTCATCATCAAATCGAGCTCATTTTTATTTTTCACAATTTAAACTATACCGAGCCAGCGAACATGGTAGCTGTACACACTACAGAAACATCACATGAATCACTTAAATCTAACTCAACGAACCCCAACTTTTTATCATATAGCAGCACTATGAGGCCCTCAATTCCCTTGTTGCACAAATAAATCGCATATATGTTCTACCAGATAGCTATTTTGCCTTTCTAGAGATTTACCACATTCCCCTACTCTACTACAATCAGAACCAAAATCTGAAGCTTCCACTCTGAATGTAAACCTGCCAATTATACCAAAAGCCACAGCGCAATCTCAAACATGTCCGAGGCCTCTCTGATCTCTACGATATTAATTTCAGATTTCACATCATTCTCTATTTTTCTTGGTCACCATCGGAACAAGAAAAGAAGAAGAAGAAGAAGAACAGAGACCATCTTCTTACTCACCAGTTGCGCTGCCCTCCTTCCTTGAAGTCGGGATCAAGCGCGCGCTTCCTCTTCTCGCCGACCCTCGTCATCCGCGACGCCGTGAAGAAGAACACCAGCAGCATCCCCGCGAACCTACGATGATGATTCGTCTCAAAAAAATCACATCAGAAACAGGATTTTTTTATCAATAATATTTTTTTTAAAAAAAAGAGAAATTAGCCGCCCTTTCACCTGTACCCAGCGACGGTGTGGGCCACCATGGCCGGAACGCCGACGAACACCGCGGTGGAGTCGACGGACTTGCGCCGCACCGCGCGCGCCGCGATGGCGCCGCCCGCCGCCACCGCCACCGCCGCCCGGATCCAAACTCCTCCGCCTCCTCCGCCGCCGTGATCCATTGCCGGCGACCTCCACCTCACCAAACCGGATCGCGCACAGCAGCGAAGAACACCAAAAAGGAATCGATCAAACCACTCGCGAACGGAACGGATATGGATCTCCTCCTCTCCTCCTCCAACTCCAAGCCAGTGCAGCCGACACACGCTACTACTACTACTGACGCCCGCAAAAGATACGAAGCCTTTTTCCGCCTCGAGGCGAAGGCGCGTGCTCCGGTGTAGAAATTGGCGGCCGACCAGATGCTTCGGGAGGATCGCCGGCGAGCCGGCGGCGGTGGGCTCGCCGGAATCGCGCAGGTGAAGGTGAAGCGGAGGTAGGAGAGAAGAAATAAGCGTGAGATCTGACGAAAGCTTGATGCTTTTCTCTCACGCGAGTCGCGAGAGACTTGTATTTGTAAGCGTGTTGCATCGAATCGATGGGCCTGATCCTACCCGTTCATCTCCTGAGGACGCATCACAGCCGTACAAACATTTTTCGTGCACCCATCCAACGGTCCAGGTCGGGGCAGAATCCCAATCCTGATGGTAAGATAGTCTTGTAATTCTTTTTTTTTTGAGAGGTGATAGTCTTGTAATTCTAGATTATATTCTGCTTAAAAAAACACTAATAATGTTCAGAATTTCAAAAAAAAAAATAAAGAAGAAATAAGGTTGCGTTGGGCAAATCCCAATCCTGATAGTAAGATAGTCTGGTAATTCTAAATCATATTCTTATTAAAAAAACACTAATAATGTTCTGAATTTCAAAAAAGGAAAAATGTAAGGTTGTGTTTGGCAGGGCTCTAGATCTCATATTTATGGTACATTTGAAGTTTGTATATTAAATTATATTGTTTTAAAATTTTAAATTTCATCTAAAATAGGAACAAAATGATTTATCCAAATGTTATCAACGAGATCACAGGTCTAGATCTATAAATTTGTGGAGTTAGGAATACCAAGCTCAAAAAAAAAAAAAAGAATCCATAGCTATGTCAAAAAAGGGCCTAATCATATGCTGATTCCATGCATCTGTGAACAAAAAACTAAAAATCTATCCAGGATAGTGTACAGTACATGTTGTTTCTGAATTGAGACATTAGCTTTTAGCTAAGCATCATCTGAAGGGAACCAGAGGAAAGAACATGACTTGGTCTACCACAACTGCTATTGCCACTGCCATTGGATGTTTGGATTGGGCTAAAATCTTCCCCTGCCTCGCCCTCGCCCTCGTCCTCGGCCCCTTCCTCTCCCCCGTCCTCGCCCTCGAAAATCTCTTCTCCCGCCTCCCGTTTCTTCAGGACCGCTGAAGCTGAACATGCTCATCCGCAAACGATCTGCGTCTGAACTCTCTGGCACTCCCTGCAAAATAGCACAATGCCATGGGAATCAACATTCTTGGAATGGCGGTAATGGAAGTTTTGAAACACAAAGGGGTTCTGATCAGGGAAGTTGAACCGACATAGGAGTCTTCAAGATCTAGTTGCTCCTGGAGCTGCCTTGCCAGCTCCTCGTCTCGGCTGGTATCGTCGATGTAGCTTTGTGCTGTGGACTTCAAACCAGCGGATTTTCGCTTCTCCCATTCATCGAGGGTAAATACTGGAGTATCTTCTTGCCTGCCTTTACCCTTGAATCTATGGCCCCGACCATATCTGTCTTCGGGCGCAGCCTGGGTCATTTTCTGCAGAAGCTTCTGTGCAGTGGCTTGGTTTTGAACAGGAATAGCTTCACTGACTGCAACGCCAAAGCAAAAGGTTTGTAACCAACTGCCACCAATATACTATATATATAAATATTTTGAATGGAAGCCAACCCTCTTTTGGTCTGCCATCTGAAATAGATTGTTTGGGTTCAACTGCAGACTCTTTGTTCTCATCACTTGAACTCTCATTGACTGGTTTGCCACTGGAACTAACTGACACATTCTGACGACCGACTTCCGGTTTCCTAGCCTTATTATCTGCTATGACATAAGAAAGGAGTCCAAGTGGACCACAAGTCACGGAAACAAGCAATATGAACTCCATATATACACAAAAAAAGGAAGTAATTTGTATGTCAAAAACACATTCACTTGCTAATCCAAATATATTGTCAGCATAATAACCAGATGCAGATCAGGTTTTCCAACTAAAGTCATGCAAAAGTGCAGTTCAGCTCCATGTTTTTCAGAATAAAGAGTATTTTTTATCCAAATAATGTTATTTGTTTAATTTTGCAGGACTTGACAATAATCTCCAGTCAGATTCCAACACAGGGAAAATCTTACTAGTGAGTAACACAACTGATAATCACCCATATTGCACCCAAAAGGAACACCCTCGTTTAGAGGAAATAGTTCTGAACATCTTAATTCATGCATATAGATTTCACCAGGAGAATCGAATTCAAACCCTTGGTACCTTTATATATATAACAACTGCCACGCATAAATGCCAACTTTACAGTGGACATAACTAAGGGTAAGGGGTGTGTGTGTGTGTGTGTGTGTGTGAGAGAGAGAGAGAGAGAGAGAGAGAGAGGACAGAACAATTACCAGAATAGGTTTGAGAACGGGATGTCCTACTAGGACGTGCTTCAACATCTAACTTCTCAAATGGTGGAGGTCCAACTCCATCATCATTTTGAGACAACCTCAAGGATGAACGAGATAACCCTGAGAATTTCTGGTTCATCTGCCACTCTTCATACAATGATTGGACAACTCCCCCCATGATACTTATATTCTTCGCACTTAAGCACAATATGCCATTATGTATTGGAATCTTGTTCTCAAGACAAATCTACATGAGTCGTAAAGAAGGAGAAAATACATGACGATGTAAAACAGTCAGTAAATAGCAAAAGCATTTAGGTCTGAATCACGGATTTCAATATTGTTTATTTGACAAGGTATATATTGTGTAAATAATCACTAAGAAAATATTCTACTGTTCTGTATCAAAACTATGCTGCAGTTTGCTCATAAGCAATGATTAAGGATGAAACTCAATAGACTGTAGGACAGAGACAGACAGACAAACAGTGGGAATTAGGAATGCTATCTCCCAACCCCATCCTGATGATGCAATATAAATACACCATCTCTACAGGTAGCTCTTACACAAACCTCATGCAGCATTTACTAAGGAGGATTTCAGATTCAATGTTATCAAGGAGCATTCTTGCATTTTGTTTTCCAAACATTATTCATGTGGGATGTGTGGAATAGAAACACACCATTGATCAATGAGCTATCTGAGCATCTCTCCTTCTATTTATCTAGTTCCGGTGACATGGGAACTCAATACTGAACTAGTTAGGAGCCTAAGATGAAATTCAGACAAAGATGAAACTATGTGCAGAGACTCTGACTATGTCCTCTAACCTAAAATAAAGCAGAATGACAAATATCAGTGCACATCTAGAACCTAGATCAAGAACATGGTGGACTAACCTTAGTACCTGGAGCAATATCTTCAATGATAAACGGGATTGGGAAAAACTCTATCGCTACTGCTTCAGAAATTCCATCAGTCAGAACAAAGCGCAGAAGGCGGTGTTGCTGTGGGTTCTTAAAGGACGCATCAATGATGCTTCTATATATATCTCTTACTGATACTACCTGCAAACAAGTTTGCATTAAGCAGGGATCAAACAGTAAAAAAAAAAATCCAAAACACAAGGACAACAGTTCAGCTCCACAAACACTAGATGTAGGTTCAATCATGATCAGGAAAGACAAGCCCATGTTTCACCATTGAGATAGACAACTAGACATCATTGTTCCACAGAGGACGTTCAGATAGCCACCCTGGAACAGCCAAGAACATCTTTTTCATCTGCTCGGATACAAAACCCGACCCATCCACAAACTGAGAATGATACAACGCAAGCCCCAGCCACATGATTGAAACGATCTTAAGTAAGGCCATTCCCTAGCATCCAGACACAAATTCTCAACCTTATGTCCAGCCAAGAACACCATCGTTTCACAAAGGCCTGACACATATCCATACAAGAACAGCCAAGAACATCTTTTCGTCAGTCTACTCGGCTACAAACTCTGGCCGCTTCCACAATCTGGATACAATCCCCAGCCACAGAATCAATAGCAGACTAAGAACTGTTCCTAAATGAGGCATTTCTTTCCCTTATTTTTTTTACCAGGAATAAAATTAATTAGAATTACTGAGCTAATATCGAAACAAAAGAGGGGTGTCATCGGAACCTGTAGGACGATGGGGCCATGGAGGTAGGAAAGCCGCCTCCCCGTGGCGGCGGCGGCGGCGCGGTCAGGGAGCGACTTGCCGCCGAAGAGCCTCAGGTCCACGTCGACGAGCTCGGTCTCCACGGCCTCCGGCGACGGCGAGGGGGAGGCGTGGAGTAGCTCCTGGATGATCTCGTTGCTGGGGTCACGGAAGCACCACCCGCGGGCGGAGAGGGATTGAAGGAGCCTCTCCTGATGAGGGGAGGCCGACGACCCCGGCGTTTCCGCCGCCGCCGCCATCGCAGTCGGGGGGCGAAGTGTTCTCCGGCGAGGTCTGGGAGAGTGCTAGGGTAGGAGACGTGAAGGCGGGTTTTGTGGTATACGCCATAGCAGTTGGAAAGCGGACATTTGTGGTGCTTACTGCTTAGGGCTTTGTTGTTTAGACTAATTATAAGTCAGCTTAAGAACCGAAAAGTCTAAATCTAAACAAAATATTTTTTCTGGTTGAATCTATTAATTTTTGATAATTTCAGTAGTGTCGTATGAATGTTTGGTTTGATGTCAAATTTCACCAACACTAATACCAAATTGTCTTGAAATCAAATTAGCCCCAAAGCTCAAGTGGATCATCAAACCTGGAGTATCGTTCAGTGTCAACGTTTGGCAGATTCAAAGAAAAAAAAAGAAACGGCATATTTGTAAATAAAATATAATTTGTGAATAAAACTTTTATATATGTGTTCTTAACTATTAAAAACAAATGCTAGAAAATCTTATAAATTCAAATTTTAGTTTATAAACATAAACTCTAAAATTAAAGTTATAAATTTAAATTTTAGTCCATAAGCATAGCGAAATGATGAATGTGAACTCGGAAGGCTGAACACAGGGACATGCAGCCGCGGGCAACAAGCCAACAAGTGCTCCTGCAGCAGGGTGTGAAAAACCGCCGGTAACCGCGCGGTTACCGCGGTTACCGCCCGTACCGCGGGGGTACGGTTACCCGTACCGCGCGGTACGGTTTAATAAAATTCATCCAAATTCAAAAATTTAAAAAAAAAAGAAAAAAATCAAAAAAAATAGTGAAGGTAGTGCTTGATTTATAGTGTTTTATGGTGAAGAAATTTCTCAAAAAAGAGTAATATTTATTCAAATTTGAGAGCAAAACGGAGAATAAATTTGAAAATTGGAAAAAGAAAAAAAAATGGGCCGGCCCGTTACTGTGCAACCCATTACACATCGCGCGGTAACCGCGCCAAACCGCGTGGTTACCGCGTCAAACCGTGCGGTAACCGCGCCAAACCGCGCAGTTTGCCCGAATTTTTGAATTCAAATTTCGATTTGTAAATTTGTCGCGGTTTTGCGCGGTTACCGCGGTTACCGCCGGTAACCGCCGTACCGCCGGGTGGCGGTAACCGGGCCCCCGGCGGTTTTTGAAACCCTGTCCTGCAGTCCTGCTCATCTGCCTTCACTCCTCCTCATCGTCTTTTTTTTTTTTTTTAACTCCTTATCGTCGTAGAGCCCTAGATTCGCACGAGGCTGAGGTCCCGCAGCGCGAGCGATCCAAAGATATCCGAGGTGACGCCGTGTCATCCCTAGTTAGCCGAGCCAATTTTTGTTTATAGCTGTGGATTACAAAATCCTCTTCTCATCTGAAACGTTCTCATCTACTATACTATCTTCAGGTTCAGGTTCGGCCTCGCTTTTGAGCAGAAAGCCCAAAAGGTTTCAGCTTGGGAAGAGCAAAATGCGGTGAGACCAGAATAATAGATGGACTGTTTCTACTCACTCCGTTTTTCTCAATGTAAATTATTCTAGCATTTTTAATATTTATATTGATGTTATGAATGTGGAAAATATTAGAATAACTTACAATATGAAATGAAGGGAGTAGTAAACTTCATTTACAAATCCCATTTTAAGACGAAATATTTATTTTATTTATTTTTTGACAACGAATTTAATTCGGTCACCACGAATACCGCATCAATATTGTGCTCTCTGTCAGATCATCAGACGCAATATTGTGCTCTCTGTCCTGGAATCTCTCGGCCATCAGTTATTCAGTTGGCAGGTTGGCAGTAATTTTGACGAAATTCGTTGAAGAATGATAGCGGTGGGGTTAAAAACGAAATCTTTTCGTCCTCTCACCATAATAAAGTTTCTCTTTTTATTTGTTGGTCAAGCCCTTTTTGATCTTTTTTTTTCTGTCTCATGCTTATCCTCCAACTTCGCGGCGCACCCTCCGCAAACGTAAGCCAAAAAGATCAGGAAAAGAGACAGAAAAATCGGAATAAAAGAGTGATAGATAGATAGATAGATACTCCGTAGATACTAGATCAGCAGCGATTTTTTTTTCAGTTTTTGTTTTTTCATTTCTTCCTCTGTCTTGTTTAGATGTTGGGGTTGGTGAGCCCTTGGGGGGAATCAGTTGGTGACTGACTCGAGAAGTTCAGAGGTTGTTGTCTCCGAATTCTTTAACCCCAACCTCTCCTCTTCTCTTCTCTTCTCTCCTCTTCTTCCTTATACTGCTTCTTGGGCTCGCCGCTGCGCTGTTCTTTGGTCTTCTTGGATCTCTGACCCTAACATCGTATCCAACTTCTCCAGTTCTTGTTCTTGGAGGGGTGAGGAAGAGGAGGAGGAGGAGGTGAGATGGGTAGCTTCGGGAGGCTGGCGAGGAGGGCCGTGGAGACGGAAGCGCCGGTCATGGTCAAGGTGATGGAGAAGAAGCTCCCTGCCTCGTCGAAATCGCATCTTTCCCTTCTGATTTCTTTGGTCTTGATTGATGAGTTCTATCTCTCTTGTGCCTTGTGCTCTTTTTTCAGATGCAGGAATTGCTTCGAGGGAACAAGGATGTGATGTCGCTTGCGCAGGTATCGGATCGCAATTTCTTTCGGTTATCTGTCCAATGATTGTGTGTGTGTGTGTGTGTTTTCATGAGAGTACCAATGAGTTTGTGTTGTTGTTGGTACTTGGTCACAGGCATTTTGATGTTTGCATTTGATTGGGAAGAGTGTTCGAAATGGATTAGTGAAATGATCATTTGTATTGTTCCTTTACTGTTTGGGTCAATTGTCTCAGTAAACTGTTCACGTTGTAAGGTGAATCAGGAGAGTTTAGTACATCTGATAACATATTGTGCTTTGTATAACACAACTATTTATCAAGCATGGAATTTGGAAACTAAAATGGTTGTATTCCTGCTTAGTTCCTGAAAATGGCGTTTAACTGCTTATGCTAGCCAAATAAGATATCCAAATATATATATTAGTGGCAGTGGTGTGTGTGCTGGCCTCCTATTACTGCCAACAGAACATGTGATATTTACTGGAAATTATTTGCTTTCTTTTAAACTAATGTAAATCTTGGATGCAGGGAGTTGTTTATTGGCAGCCTCCTGAGGCAGCTATGAATAAGATTAAAGAAATTGTATGGGAACCATCAATCAGTAAATATGGCTCTGATGATGGTCTTCCTGAACTCCGAGAAGCACTTCTCGAGAAGGTAATTTTTCAATTGGGATTTGTTAGATAATGGTTTCCATGGCCCATGTTATCAAGCCTTCCCAGTTATCACAAAGCAATTACCATGTGAGACAAATGCACTTGGTTGCCTACTGCTAAGCCTTTATCATGTGAGACAAAGGAACCTGTGTGCCTACTACTAAGCCTTTGTCATGTGAGAAATTGATTCTGGAATTTTTTTTACCTCGATACTGAGAGAGTGAGAGTAAGGCCATTCCCAACCCAAAACATTAGACATAGTTTCCATAAACTCCACATCATCAAGAAATAAGTACTAGACACTACTCTTCCAATGCAAACACTACTATTTCATACTTAAATTTAATGCTACTTATCTCACATAATGTCTTGGATGTTGTGTAGAAACCATGTCTCATGCAAGACATAGTTTCCTCCTCTTTCCTCATTTATTCACTTGCCACATCAGTTTTCATCCTATGTGACAGCTTATTTAATGCTATGGACACTATCCTAGTCATTGGGTTGGGAATAGCCTAATATCAGGAATCACATGCTATCCTTACAAAATTTTATCAACGAGAAAGTTTCAGAAAGTATCTCTCAGCTTCTGTGGGGGCTTGGGGGGGAGGGAAGCTAAGGGCCCCTTTGAATCGTAGGATTGAGAAAACATAGTAATAGAAAAAACGTAGGATTTTGATAGGAATGTAAGTGTAAAATAGAGGATTACAAAACGCAGGAAAAACACAGGAATGACCGTTTGATTGAACCGCAGGAAAAACGCAGGATTTGGATGAGAGAGATAGACTCAAAGAAAAGTTACTAAGAGGTTGAAGCTCTTGCTTAATTTCCTCCAAAATTTCTATAGGATTGTTCATTCCATAGGAATTTTAAAGGATTGGATAGGATTCAATCCTTTGATTCAAAGGACTTCATAGGAAATTTTCCTATAGGATTGAAATCCTCCAAAATTCCTATGTTTTTCCTCCAAATCAAAGGGGCCCTAAGCTCTGTTGAGAGCTATAATAGTTCAATGCTACCATGTAACAGTGCAGTAGCACAGTTCTGAGACATTGCCCTTGGTACTACCGATGCCCCCTCATGTAGAGATGGGTGTTATATTCACTGATTTCTCTTACTGCGATAATATTTTATTGAAAAACTAATAATATGAATGGTAATTATTATAAACATGTTCGTTGCCTTCCCTCTATTTTCTTCCTGAAATTTTTAGCATACATTTTGCAGCTGCGCAGAGAGAATAAGCTAACCAAGTCGTCAATTATGGTTACCTCTGGTGCAAATCAGGTAATGCACATGCTTTCCAGTTTCCACCTGATTTATTACAGCTTTGTCATCTTATTCCGGTTTTCCTCTGTGTATTTTGCCTTGTTTAGCTAGACTATAGGATGCCAATTTGTTTTTCTTCTTCAGTTCTATGAGATGCTTTCTTACTTTTCTGTATGACTGCTTCACCTAAACCTTGTTTACCAACTAGGTTAGCCAAATAAAAGTCAAATAAAGTGATGTCTTCTATCAAATTTTGGCAGGCCTTTGTAAATGTGGTCCTCACCCTTTGTGATGCTGGGGATGCAGTTGTCATGTTTGCACCATATTACTTCAATTCCTACATGTCATTCCAGATGACAGGAGTTACTGACATATTAGTTGGTGCAAGCAATCCTGAGACTCTTCATCCTGATGTCGGTAAGATAGTTCTTCCCTTTTTCTTTTTGTTGGAGAAATTGGTTAGATGTCTATTATCAACAGTCAATTATAAACTAGTTGCCACTTTTTTTCCGCTTCTGAGATCTTCCACTTTGTAAGTTGATAAGTTCTATCACTTGATACATTTTCTCTCAGTTCAATTGAGAGCTATATGGTTTTTGATCATTCGATTTGGTTCACTTAAGGACTGTAAAAGAATAGTTCATTCTGGTAGTACAATTTATATTTGTTTAATAAAATGCAGATTGGTTGGAGAAGGTTCTGCAAGAAAACAACCCTATCCCTAAACTTGTTAGTGTTGTAAATCCTGGAAACCCCTCTGGAGCTTTCATTCCGAAGCCGATGCTCGAAGTAACCTGTCTCTCTCATTCACAGTTCACGCACACTTGCATTCGAGGTGACTTTAATTATTTCTTAATATTGCACCATTGTTCCAGAGAATTTCAGAACTGTGCAGAAATGCTGGTGCATGGCTTGTAGTTGACAATACCTATGAGTAAGTTAGTACTCAATTACTGATTATTGCTCAACTGCAACGTCATTTTGGTGCTTCTTTTCTTTCTGTTGTTGATAAAGCTCCTCAGTCCCTTCAGAAATTGATATTACTTAAAGCAATTGTAAAGACGAGGCACTACGAAAGAATGAACTACACATGGACATGATCACCTTAAGTAGTAGTTTAAAAGGACAGTTCACCATAAGCAGTTGAGCAACTGTGCTTGACTTCTTGAAGTTGAGTCCTGGATGACGCCCTCTCTGATAGATTAAATAAATAGGACTTCAAGAATGTGGTATCTCTTTCAAAAAGTATCTGCAAACCACCCGCCAGTAAGGGTTTGTCAAATGTAGTTATCTTCACATGCTCAGCTTATTCAAGTAGGGAAAATCTTCCATTTCTTCTCAACACTAGAATTGGACACATGGAACAACTCGTTTTCTTTTGAAGGTCCCATTTCAGTTCCTCAATTTCAGTGATGCCCAAAATAAACCCTCCAGTCACTTACAGGCAGAGTGGAAGACTCACTGACAAGAGCCTAAATTGAATCACGGATTAGACTCTTCCCTCAAGAAAAGTCTTACTTTCAGCAGCCTAGCATCCGCTGTGCGGCATTGGGAAGAATATATCTGTTGTTAGTTCTGATCAAATCAGAAATATTTGATCTCTTGCTAATCTACCCTTGCTCTATATTTCAGATCATGTTTACCTTTTCTTGTCTGGCTCTGTAGTTGAGTAATGGAAATTGATATTAGTTTTTGCCATTTCCTTACCCTGATGTTGATGTTAAAAGGATGCTATGGGTCCTTTTCGAATATAAGCTTGATGGACTTCCCAATGTTAATACACCACCGAATTTGACATGTGTAAATCTTGTATATGATAAAAGTATAATTTGGAAACTTTCAATTATCATCACATTGATTTTTAGATAATCTGTATTCAAAATGTTTGCACGAATACTGAAATTCAAGAAAACATTTTCTCGGAAGAATTCTTTTCCATAAAAGGTGACTGACCTTTTACTTTCTGTAAAATAATTCTACATATGGGGCTATTTTGGATTCTGTATAACTTTGATGTTGAACTTGCTTGCAAAATTGGTGGGTGGTCTCCAGGTACTTTATGTATGATGGAATGGAGCACTATTGCTTAGAGGGTAATCACATTGTCAACCTCTTCTCATTCTCGAAGGCTTACGGAATGATGGGCTGGCGTGTAGGATACGTAAGTTTGCCTCTCTCTCTCTCTCTCTCTCTCTCTCTCTCTCTCTTTCTTTCATCCTCTGCTTAGGCTTGAAAATGCTGATGTAAGAGTCAATATTGAGTTCTTTCAGTTTCATGAATTTCCCGCATCCACTTGAATCTTTTACCAGGGCATTCCCTTAAATTATCACCATAGCAATGCAGTATAAGTAACTTAGTGGCTGCACAATCTGTGTTGATCAGTGAGTCTTACAAGAACTGATGAGCTGACTGCTGCAGATTGCCCACCCAAACGAAGCTGACGGTCTTCATGCACAGCTGCTCAAAGTGCAAGATAACATACCTATCTGTGCTTCCATCATCGGGCAGCGCCTGGCGCTCTACGCATTAGAGGCTGGTCCAGAATGGATCAGAGAAAGGGTGAGAGATCTAGTGAAAAACCGTGAATTGCTCATGGAAGCGATGTCTCCGCTTGGCAAGGACTCTGTCAAGGGTGGTGAGGGTGCCATTTACCTCTGGGCAAAACTACCCGAGAAATGCTCAGATGATTTTGAAGTTGTCAGATGGCTTGCAAACAAGCATGGTGTGGCTGTGATCCCCGGGAGCGCCAGTGGAGGTCCCGGATATATCCGGGTTTCTTTCGGAGGGTTGAAAGAATCGGATACAAGGCTTGCTGCTGAGAGGTTAAGGCGCGGCTTGCAAGAACTTGTGACTGAGGGAATGGTACAGTGACAGCCCAATGGATGCAAGAAATACATGACATACAAATCACAAAAGTGAAAATTTTCAGTTACATAATAATTCTGGGATTAGTTCAAGAGAAGAAAAGAGCCAAAATTTCAAGATTACAACATGGTTGTTAGAAAATGCTGAAGCTTTTATTTCAGAGAACTTTTGTCACATTGGATTTCCTAGTGGAAATTTGATTTGGTGGGTTGAGTAGAGGGAAAAAAAAAGACTCATCCACCCTGTGGAATACCATTGTCATTAAAGGGGTATTCATGTTTAGTACTTACTGTTGCTTGATAACCTCTTTCCCTACAATCAGGACAGCAGCTGTACACAAGTAAGATATAATAAGATATAATAGCAACAATAAGTGTTCATGATGTGCTTTTATTTCAGCTTTTTTATTTATTTCTTCGGTTCGGATCACTTCTCGAAGCTCAAAAACTGAAAAAAATATGTTTCTTGAACTTGTTAGCACTTCAATTTCTGAAGAAATGTGCTCGTGCAGAATCAGACATTGCATTTTTTTTATATAATGGTTTATATTAAACCGGCATTTACATCCAAAGTGAATGTATAGCCAAAATCAGACATTGCATACAACCATGATTTTAGTTCTTCAAGCACTATCACCTCCAGTTCCTGTAAAACTCCAATTGCTGCCAAACCAGTGATTGTAAATTTAGAGTTGTTTTCGTGGATTATTGATTTGATTATAGGAATAAATTAAATATTTTAAGAAATAAGCTTTACTAATAGCTTACATTACAACGAGTGATTTAAGCAATAGAGTAGAACAATCCGTTTAAATAATTTTATGAATAAGCTAAAAAGAACACGCGCTTCGGATCTTGGAATAGTTTTTCAGTCACTGCATGTTGTGTTTTTTTTGCTGTCCACATACTTCTCATCTCTTTTCTCCTCCAACCTGTGTCCTTTTCATCGTACAGTGATCGATCCATCATCACAGCAGCGACATGTGATTGGCTCACATTAAAACGCCGTTCTCTGAAAAAAGCAAATATGTTTCCTCCTTTTCCTCCTCTTTTTATGTAAAGAGATCCATGAAAATGATGTGCACTAGCGGTGCATCAAATGCCTCTCTTTTTTTTCTTTGCAAACGTGATTGAGTGAGAGAGAGTACATGAGAGAAAATGACAGCAATCTTCAGGCTGAAAGAAACATAGTATCAGCAGCATATAAATAGCTTGATACGATGCACCAGAAAAGCAGGTTAGAAGTAATCCATCTACTCCGAAATATAAAGATTTCTAGGTTGCTTAGCAAATACTCCTTTCCAATGTTAGGTCTAAAGATTTCTTTTTACTCACTTCAGTAGTTCAGATTTTATTTTTTTTGAATCTAAATTCTTGTATTCCCTTTTCAAGTTTGTGATTGGCTTTGGATTCATTGAAATGATGGGAATCATAGGAATAAGTACATGGATGTTTATATTGTGGTATAAATTTAAGTCCTAAAAATCCTTATATTTTTGGAATGGAGAAAGTAGTACTATTCAGCAGGGGTTGATAAGAAAAGCAATAAGCAACAATGATCACAAGATCAGCATCAGCATCAGGGACTCAGAATGTGTGATTGCCAACAACAAATGCCAACTGGAGGAGCTATCAGAGACTGACAGTTCAAGAAATCTGATGCTAATTTTGTGTTGGAGACTTTGAGAGGATGTGTACACACATCTCATTGCCAGATGACCAATAATGCATTGAAAGAGAGAGTGCTTATACGGGAGTAAATGATTGCAGAAGAAAGCAGGTGGAGGCAGCACTGCACTTGTCCCTGCATGCTGCACAATTGAAATGCAATTCAATGCAGAGTTGCAGTACTGCCATCAAAGTCCCTGGATTAAGGGGTAGTACTGCTCTTTACCTGCTAATCTAACCTGCTACTATCATGTACTAGCAGTGAAATTGCTCACATTTTTTTTTGTATATATTTTACTAGCAGGTGCATATATAGCATTTCAGTACCACTTGTTCTGAAGATGCAGGTAGCAAGTTCAGTCAACCACTACTGGTACCAATCATCAAGCCCAACCAACCTCACCTAGGGTGCATTCCGAAGTGTCGATGGATGCTGCTGAAACTGAGTTTAAGACACAATTATTCGAAGGTATACACGAACGAATTGAATATTACAAAGTTGATCAATATCCTTATTTTAAAAGAGTTTTCCAAGAATGCCAATAGTCGGCGTCGTTTAAGGCCCCATTTGAACTTGCTGAAGATGGACATTAAGTACGGGCACGTAAAAAAAAAGTTATTAGCGTATGATTAATTGAGCTTGAAAATTGGATTTATATGATATCTTAGAACAACATCTATATAAAACGTTTTCGCACAAAATACGCCGTTTAACAGTTACCGGATCATATTATAATCCAAATTAATGTGTCCTTAAACTATTGCCCAGAAATGCAGGCTAACCTGCAGGGGGTGACACAGTAACTACTGTATATCGTCCCTTGCCGCCTTGCGTCAGAGTCATTCTTCAGGACTAAAATAGGATGAACAGTATATGATTAGTACCAAGAAATGGTCACATGCATTGCTGCCCCAATGCAACTCAAAGCCAAGAAACTATAGTAATAAGATTGAGACAGAGAGAGAAGTCCAGGCAAGGCAATTGCAAACGAACAAATAATTGAAGGACAAGAGTATATTAGCCAAGTACTACTTGGGGGCTCACTGCAAGCTACAGTACTACGTACTGCTACAGTATGCATTGGGTTTTGTTGATCTGGGCACATTTAGGGCGCCATTGATGCCTGGCTCTCACCTTTTTTACAAAGAAATCAATTGAATCTCGCTTTGCATTGCAGCATGCCAACGAGCAAGCTACCGAGGGTGTGTTTAGTTCACGCCAAAAATGAAAGTTTGATTAAAATTGGAATGATGTAACGGAAAAATTGGAAGTTTGTGTGTGTAGTAAAGTTTTGATGTGATGGAAAAGTTGGAAGTTTGAAGAAAAAGTTTGGAAAACTTGGCCTGAATTGAGTTGAATCGCTTCTCTTCTCCAAAGGTCAAGAAGAGGTGTTGGCCATGTGTGAGCATCGCAGCGGCCATAGTTGAATCAATGCATTGCGTTCGTATATATAATGGTCCCAAATGCAAGCTACAGCTGCAATGGCCATGGCCATGGAGTAGAGAGGGAGAGAGAGAGATGCGTCTACTAACTTGCTTTGCTGATGATCATCGACGATTTGACGAAGCAGAGACGACGAACGGACAGTATTCTGTCCGTCAAAAAAAAATGATGAATCTAGACACACGTGTGTTAGTGTGTGTCCATATTCATTCCTAGAGTTTAATTTTTTTTGGACAGAGGAGTATGTACGACAACCTACTGCAGCAGTAGCACCACACACCGACGAAGACAACGTATGCCCTCGATCGGTGGAATGGAATGGAGGGATATCGCTCTTAAAATAAACAAACATATTAAAAAATGTAACTTATTCTATTACCTTGAATCTAAAATCTGAACATATATGTCCTTTCAAAAAAAATCTGAACATATATCACATTTTTTTTGTTATGTTGGGATAGAGAGAGTATGTCATGTATTTCTACTACTTTCTCTATCATATATTAAGTTAATGTAGTATAAGACATGTGATTTCCATTAAAAAAAAGTATAAGACGTGTGATGGTTGTTGGTGCGACGAGGAAAACCGCGCATCTGGAGCCTGGAGGTAGTGGCTGCAGAAGGGGAAATCGGCGAAGTGGTAGCTAGCGGCAGCCGGCAGGCAGGAGCAGCGGACGGACAGACGCACGAATGCATGATTGCACTCACTTCTAAGAAAGAAATAAAAAAAATTGTGGAGTTTCAGAGTTCAGGGTTTACGATGGATCAAGCTGTTACCTGTTTTTTTTTAAAAAAACATTTTAACTCTTTTAAAAAATTTATTTTTTAAATGGATTTTTTTAAAAAACTTATTTCAGAAATAGACCCTCCTTAATATCGAGGTCCAATGTCTCAGCGCCAATAACATTAGTGCTAATATTATCTCTTCCTGGTAGATAAGTAGTTGATGCTAAGGAGGTTGGTGCCTCCTATTTATAAAAAGAATTCTAAAGGCTTAGGCTGACTTTGGTACGCATGGTTCTCAACTCACTCCTCTCTTTTTCCGCGTGTACACTTTTCAAACTGCTAAACGTTATTACGTTTTTTTTAAAAAAAAATTCTATACGAAAGTTGCTTAAAAAATCATATTGATCCATTTTTGAAAAAAAACAATTAGTTAATACTTAATTAATCACGCGCTAATGTACCGCTCTGTTTTCTGTGTGGAGGGAATGAATTCCCAACCAGGAGAATCGAACGTAGCTTTAAGGGTCTTTGATGTCGATGATCTATTTATAGGAACAAATATTTACATTATGACTATTCTTTTAAAAAAATATTTTATAAATAATTCCTCTGCACCAACCTTTTTATGTTTTGGCAGCTAAAGACTAGCTTGTTTGGCAACTTGAGAGAAGGGGATTGGGAGTTTACATGAGAGAATTGACGGCCCGTTTGGTTGGAGGGAGTTTTTAGGAGGGATTGGGAGTATGGAGTGATGAGGCTATTAAGTGTTTTGTTTGGTTGGGAGACATAGGAATTTTGGTGGGATGGGGATGAGGAATTGAGGAAGGAACTCCCACCTTTTCAATACCTGCGTAGGAGCAGGTAATTGGGAGGGAATTCCTCCTTTACTTTGTCTAAGCAAATCTCAACCATCCGTTTTTATTAATGATCTAATCTCCAACTAAACTCCCTATCAATTTCCATCACCTCTACCAAACAAGATGGCTGGGATTAAAAATCAAATTCCCATTTTAATCTCATCATCAATTCCCTCGTGTAAACTCCCAATTCCCTACCCTCGAGTTACCAAACAAGCCGTGATGGTGAGATTAAGATGGGAATTTGATTTTTCATCCCAGTCTCTTGTTTGGTAGAGGTGGTGGAAATTGATAGGGAGTTTAGTTTGAGATTAGATCATTAATGAAAACGGATGGCTGAGATTTGTTTAGGCGAAGTAAATGAGGAATTCCCTTCCAATTACCACCCCCTACCCAGGTATTGAAAAGGAGGGAGTTCATTCCTCAATTCCCCATCTCCATTCCACCAAAATTCTCATGTCTCCCAAATAAACAAAACAGTTAATAGTCTCATCCATCTAAACTCTCAATCCCTCCTGAAAACTCCCCCAACCAAACGGGCCAGGGTGTTTGACAGCGAGAGAAGAGTCTAAAACAAGTTATTTTTCAAGAGTTTATTTATAAAATAAGTTTTTTAAAAAAAATCAAACATAAAAAATCCAGACGCTGTTACCTTTTTTTTTTGATAACACGTGGTTCTGTGCTAGCTGTGATACCGCT